TAAAGTACGATTATTTATCGATTCTACAGAAAAATAACTCATTTTAATGTATATTTAATCTTAATAATTAAAAAATGTACTGACAATTAGTTTGACAGGATTGTCACGTATTTAATTAGCTTCAATCACAGTAAGTATCCTAACTGAATCAGTACTAATTCATACATTGAGCACTTGCCAGATTCATTATCAAATCTGAATTTTTACTGCACACAATCCCTGTTATATCTCAATATTTCAGGTATAACACAAGAGGTTCAGAACTAATAATAATTTTTCCGTGAACACAGGATAGAACCAATAATTCAGTTTTTTTAGTTCCGTAAACGCTTTTTAACTACTGTAAGTGCGAAATCATTACTGTTAGTTATAATTCGGTTCAGGATTCTTACCTAGAATGAATCTATTATTATGTCTCAGACCCATAAAGTTCCTAATCTCTATTCAACTTATTTATTTTTATTTATTTATTTATTATACGGGATAACCCCATTAAAGAAATTTATTCAATTTACAATATAAAAAGGCAGGTAGAAAAATACTATTACTATAACATTACTAAAACAAAACAAAGTACAAAAGTGAGTTTTTACAGTAATTAATTAAGTGAATTTAAATATACGTTAAATATAAGTTAAGAAACATGTATTACATTTTTACAATTGGTTTTAAATTTGGCTAATCTCATATTAAAAATATCTAAATTAAGATTATTCAACATAGACAAATATCTGTCCAAGGTAATAAGGAACATTTAGGCTAATCCCGCTCAAAAGAGAAGGACTTTCTATAGCACTATAATCATGATCTGAAATCCTGACATTACTTTTAACTGCACATACTATCAAAAATTTTTGTTGTACCCTTTCCAAAGTATCAGAATGAATTTGAAAAAATGGTGACCACACAATTGAGCCACGGATCTAACTAACGAGCAGTAGACCATTCTGGTAGCATCAGTGGAGAAGTACTTACAATTTCTTATAACAAATCCTAACATTTTTGATCCTTTAATAGAGATTGAGTTTATATGTTCAACAAATACTAGTTTTTCATCAAAAATGACACCCAGATCTTTTACTGTTGATTTGTATTCAAGTTGGTGAGCATTAATAAAATAGTTTGTTGCTATCCTAACAGCTTTACGGGAAAAACTTATATAGCAACATTTATTTTCGTTTAAGTACAATTTGTTTTTATTACACCACTCTACTAAGCGATTCAAATCCTCCTGAAGGAGTTCTTGATCACAAATGTTCTCTACTGTTCTCCAAAACTTGAGATCGTCAGCAAACTTAGCACATTGGCTGTACACGAAACAACCAACAATATCATTCACAAAAATGTTAAGAAGAAGAGGTGAGCTATGGCCCCCTTGAGGTACACCAGATGTAACATTAATTGTATCTGAGTAGTAACAACCTATTTTTACCCTTTGAATACGATCAGTCAATGAGCTTTCCCACCACAAAACAAAGCCTAAGTTGAAGCCAACTGAAAGCAACTTATTTAACAAAATATTGTGATCTACTCGATCGAAGGCTTTTGAAAAGTCTGTGTAGATCGAGTCGGTTTGTTTTTTGTCTTCCATGTTTTGAAGAACATTTAATTGATAGGTTGTTAAGTTTGAAACAGTTGATCTGTTCTGGGAAAAACCATGTTGTTCCTGGCAGATTAAGCCTTTACATTGCCAAGTCAGTTGTTTGCTAACTAGGCAATCAAATAATTTAAATGCAATTAACATGTAAACACAATAGCCCCTTGACCACAACATGATACGCACAAGCCCGACTGCTATTGGACAGCCCAGTGATCCTCATACCCTCTAGCTCAATGTGTTGTGGTTAAGGAGCTATTGTGTTTATGCGTTACTTGCGTTTAAGTTGAATAGAGTAGAGAGAATGTGGAAAAATTAATCTGATATTGTCTGGTTGATTATGACCTTAAAAATATACCACATTTTATTTTTTTGATAGAAGAATATCCGCCCTTTCCAAATTTTTAAATTTATTTAAAGTCAATATCTAGTATAGCACAAGTAGAAGTTGGAAAGGCTTTTGGTAGGTAGAGAAGGGGTAAGCGTCAAGCCACGTCGGACGGCTTCGAGAATACGCTAGTTCAGTGATGATGTTTTCAATGAGTTACAATAATAAATAAGTTACAATAAAGTACAATAATGTATGTGCTGACAAAAATTAAAATTTTGTTTTAATTATATTTAATGAATTATAAAGGAAATAAAAAAAAAACATTTTTTTTTTAAATAAAAAATAAAACTTGAACAATTTATGCAAGAAATAGAAAAAAAACTATTTAAAAAAAATCCATGTATTAAGTCCGTTATTCTTGGAATATTCTGATAAACTTTGCATTATTTTGGAAAATGTATATTTTACTAACTTTACCGAATTTTTTATATTTGTTTAATAATTTTATATGAAGAGGTAGAGCGTTATAGAACTTTGTCCCTAGATAATTTACACTGTTTTTAAAAAACTCACTATTTGGTTTTGGTACTTTAATGCACATGTTCGATGCAGTTCTAGTGTTATGTCTATGTTCTAAAGGGTTTTTTAAAAATTAATTTTTTTGTATATAACAACACACTGCGTGAATATATAAACATCTAACATTGCTAATTTTTTCATTATATAAAGTTCTGGTGGGACCCGAGAATACCATCAAGGAGAAGCGACAGTAGCTGTCGGTGCCTTTGATATCGGATGGACCCTTTTCACAGCATGACTTTGATTAATACACAACTTAATACGCTGAGAAAACATACTTAATTTCTACACTGAGCGAAATAGTTTGGCAAATTATCTGAAATCATTGTTATAGTCCATGCGCAAATGTTGTAATGTGATTTAATTACATTGAAGTAGTTAGGGTTAATAGCAATAATGAAATTTCGGCACCAAAATATAATTCATTATGTAATAATTAATTATTTGTTATAAACGTAAAAGACGTTTATTATTTTATAACTTATCTATAAAATTTGTTCAATATTTGGTTTATTTATTGTTAAAAATGTAATAAAAGCCCCATATTTAAATTAAATTACCTTTCCCTAAGTAAAAATAAGGTAAATAAAATTAAGGATACTAAAAAAAACTTCGGTAACAATTAAAAAGACATTAAGTTTAAAAGGTTCAACTAAATATTTGCAATGTGCATATATTTTCAAAGCTTTTAGGTTTAAAAAGTACTTACATATTTTTAGAATTTCTGGATTTATATTATATTAAAAGGACTTTCAAGTTTATTACTCATTTCTGTAGAAACAAGTGTTTTCTCGCAAAGATAAGCCAGATGTCATTTAAGGTTTATTAGAGTTAAATACCTGGCCTGGCTATCACCCAGACAATACAAATATGTTCATTGGACGTCCATTCAATATACAATTGTGTATGTCTAGACGTCCAAAAATGAGTTTTTTCTGGACTTCCCGACATCTAATGGACGTCCAGTGAAGTATACAAATGGCACACTTTTAACCATTCAGAGGACGTCCAATTCTGGAATATATTTGGACGTCGAATACTGGACATTCAAAAAACGTCCAGGATTATATTTCCATTGAGACCACGTCCCCACTTTTTTACAGAACCGCAACTCACCACACACTATTTTATATTATTAATAATTTATTTATTATTTTCGCAAACCGGTATACACCATTTATTTTTTTTAAATTAAAGATCTTGACCTGAGCAGGGATCGAACTCACGACACATCCATTATCGTTTTACGCTTTCAATCGCTAGACGAGCTCGACCAAGGGACCACTTGAAAACTTTTTACTAGATATAGTTATAATGGAATAAGATTTCAAACTTCCACTGATAGAATGAAATGCAATAGATTCAATTTTTAATGACCAATTATATTAAAAAAAAGAAGTCAATATAGATGGGTATTATTTGGTAGGTTTGATAAATAATGAACTAAGATGGACGTCCACTGGACGTCAAAATACTACTAAACTTAAAATTAAGTCCAAAAACAGACGTTCTCTGGGTATCGATATTCCGCTGTCAAATTAATTAGCGTAATGGATCTAAAGTGGACGCCCATTGGACTATGTGTGCAGTCTGGGCATAGACGAATTTTTAGAAATAGTACTTATTTAAGTATGTACCAATATTTCCAAAATCAACTCCAGTATGATTCATTCAATAAATGTAAATATAAATGGGCAAAACATCTTAATATTGACATAATTGTAACTTAAAATTTAGCCATAATAAAGGATTTCGCCCACTTTGACCAATCCTAAAGGCTCGCACAAACCAGAGCGGCTGCGGGCGCGGTGGCGGGCGCGGTGGCGGGCGCGGTGGCGGTGACGGTAGCGGTGGCGATCACTAAAAGCAAGATGTGCGCACACCAACGCGTTCAGTTCTCATTTTTCAAATGGATATCGAGGAAGAAGCTTTATTATTAGCTTTGTTAGTAGAAGAAGATAACGAACCACCTAGGTAAATATATCAAAGTCAGTTGGCATTGGGTATTTTAATAATTATTCTTTCGTCTATTTAGGAAAAAACGAAGAAAATGGGTTCACAGTGTGAATCTAGATCGAGAAAACAACGGTGAATTTTACACATTATTCCCGAAATTACGAGAGGATAGGGTGCGATTTTTTATTTATTTTAGAATGACCATTGAACATTTCGATGAAATATTAAATCTGATAAGGCCAGATATAACAAAGAAATTTACCCATTATAGAAGACCAATAGACCCAACTGAACGCTTGGTAGTAACACTGAGTAAGTAAATTACCAACTTAACAATGGCAAAATATATTTTAAGTAAAAAATATTGAGATATATAAGCGATTATTGTGGTATGGCTTATGATCGCTGTACAAACTTATGTCGCTAAAACAAAATAATGAAAGATGACTTGCTGAGAAAAAATTTTTTTAATCTGTTTATTAAAAAAATCATTTAGGTACATTTTATTTTACATTACTTATGTATGTAGTGTATTACCGAAATCTTCATACCATGTTGCAGATGATGAGGGCTCACTACGATATAGTGTGTTTGAATTTGAATAATTAAGTGATGAAGTAAGCGAGGGCAAGGATGAGTCGGTAGAGGTTGGCCTGTGAAATGGCGATGAATCGTCTCTTTCTTGGATTTCTGAGTTTCTTCGATAAGGATGAGTCTCTGAATATCTATGTTGTGGAATAGATGAACTGTGTCGTTCTTGGTTACGTTGCTCTTGTTCCACTTGGTCCAAATACGCAAACTCCTCATCCATCAATATTTTTGAAATTTTAAATTTGACAAAAGCTTGTCGCCTTGGAGGAAATTTTTTTACCGTTTTTGCGTATGCTCTAAACAAGTCGTCTATCTCGTCACAGGTAGAATCTCGTCTTGTATCCAAATATGAAATTACTTGTTGCACAGATGACGTAGATGATGACGGTACAGTAACCGATTCTTTCTGTTTTTTTTTATCTTTTTTTGTCTGTTGCCGATTAACAACTGGTGGAGCATCATGCTTAGCCAGTTCTTGATTGATTGATTGATCTTTTTGAATTGATTCACTTTGCTCACATTCTTCCTCACGTAAAAATTCCATTTGTGGTGCCCAGGGCCAAGTTTTATATCGGTCCAAACTTTTAGCTTTTTGTCCAGTTTTTGGTTTTTCGGCCCTTAAATATTTGCTGTAAGAATCCCGAAGATTCTTCCACTTCTTTTTCAGTTCATCACCTGTAACAAAATTTTAACTTTACTGTAATTAATAATACAAATATATTTTTAGGATATCTTGCAACGGGGGATTGATTCAAAACTATTGGCCACAGCTTTCAAATGGCGTTTACAAGTTAGTGCCATAGTTGCAGAAGTTTGTACGGTTATATGGAATCGTATGCAGCCACTTTATTTGCCAGATCCTACTAAAGAAACATGGGAAGCTTCCGTAGCTGGTTTTTATGAAAAATGGCAATTCCCGAACTGTTTAGGCAGTATTGATGGAAAACATATCACCATAAAGTGTCCCAATAAAACTGGATCCAACTATTTTTGTTATTTACAGAAGTTCTCCTTTGTCCTTTTAGCTGTCGTAGACCATGATTACAAATTTATTTGTATTGATTTTGGAGGATACGGTAAAAATAGCGACGGTGGACTTTTTGAAAAATCTGTAATGGGCCAGAGATTAATAACTAGAACTTTTGACTTGCCTGAAGACCGTCCTTTGCCAAATCAAGATGATCCTACACCTTGTGTCCTTATTGGAGATGAAGCCTTTCCTCTTAATGAATTTTTAATGCGACCTTTTCAACATCGCCAGTCAAGATTAGATGAAAGAAAAGAAAACTTTAATAAACGGTTGTGTCGAGCACGTCGTGTTGTAGAGAATGCGTTTGGGATCATAAGTCATAAATGGCGTATCCTATTTAGACCTATTGAAGTTAAGATTGAAACAGCTATAAGTATTGTCAAAGCTATTTGTATATTACACAATTTCTCACGCTCAAAAAATAATAATGATCAAATGGTTTTACATTTAATCGACGAAAATGGACAGCAACCTGTGGCTGCCTTTCAGAATTTTAGAAATGATGCGAGAAGACCGACAAATTCAGCGTTTCGTATTCGTGAAAATTTTGTTACCTTTTTTAATACCTAATTATAAATGAACATTTTTTTTTAATTTATAAAAGCATACATGCTTTTTAAAGTCTATAAATAAAATAATATAAAATATTATGTAAATACTTTTTACTTACCTGTTGTTCCATCCATGCTCAAATCAATTTCGTCCCATATTTTATCCTTTTTCTTCAAATTTTTATAATCACTGAGAGACAAGTCATATAGAATAGGATGTGCTCGCACATTTTCAATAAGTTTTTCAGTTTCACACATCTTTTTTACTTCAAATATACCTCTAGAATTGCAAAACAAAGCGGGCAAACGATGCATGCAGCGTTCTACAGCGGACTGACTGCAGTTCGCAACGGCCTGCGGTAGAACGCTACAAACAGAGCCGATACGTTTGCCAGATCGCTCATATGTGTGCATTTCTATTAATTCCTATTTGCAGTATTTGTCCGCCACCGCCACCGCCACCTCGCCCGCGTCCTCTACCGCTCTAGTTTGCGCGATCCTTAATTGAAACACGCGGATTTATTATATTTTTTTAAATATAATTTTAAAATAAACAAAATCGGCAGTTCGTTATTCATTAAATTTATTTAAAAGAAGACAAACATATATTTCACAAAATCCAATACTTACATATGAAAAATAAAATGTCAACAAATGATTAAATCATTATACTTAATATTTATGCATGTGATAAAATTCTTAGTTTCCCAATATTTTTTTTGGCACATTTTATATCTGTATTAGAAAAAAATCTTCATCTTATTACTACACCAAACCAACACCAAAAAAATATCACTAACATTGCTCACGTACTAAACACAACTTGGACTGACTTTGACAGATATCATTTTGAGTCATACACAACTTATTTTCGCACATGCGCGTTAAAAAACGGTACACTGAAAACACCAAGCTGTCGCTTCTCCTTGATCGGTATTCTCGGGTGGGACACAATCTTTTTCTTTTATATATTAACTTCAAGATTTTGTTTTGAATAACATTTAACTGATTTAATGTAGTTCCATACAGGCCTCCCCATACTAAGATTCCATACCGTAGTATAGATTCTACTAGACTGTAGTATAATGTTATTAGTAGATCCAGGTTGAGAAATTGTTTTAGAAGATAAAATTTATAAATCAAAAATCTAAGTTTTTTTGCTATATATATTATATGGCAGTCCCATTTTAAGTGCTGGTCTATAAATATGGTTCCACTGATAATTAAAGAGACAGTAGATTTTTTGAGCACGTTTTGTTAGTTTTGTTTACCTAAATTATATCATTTTTTCACTTTTATAAATATATTCCTAAAGTAAGTAGATAACATGCTTCAAATATACAATCGCTTAGTTACCAATTACATACCTTTAAACTATTTTTTATGACCTCTAAACAATATTTAGAAATAAACTAAAAACAGTAAAAACATATGTCAAATTTATTGATGTTTTTGTTAAAAGTTTGGTTATAATTAAATGTCAGTGAAACCAAAATGACATCACACCCAACTAGCGTATTTCAGAGTAATGTTTACCTGCCAGTGTTGTTTCATAGAATAAGTAATTTTAAATTTTTACTGGCGGAACCAGACAATCGCATGTATTTATGAACTATAAATAATTATTAAACATGTATTATAATATTATCATAATTTTACAAAATTTCAACAGCTATTCACAATTTATTAAACTATTTACTCGAAATTGATATAAACATCTATAAAATAATTTTGTAAGCCAATGTATCAGCTGAAAACCTGTCAAGTCAATTTATGTGTATAAAGTGGGAGAACTGGCAAAAGCCTTTCCAACTTCTACTTGTGCTAAAGAAGCAAATCAACTTTATCTGGATAAATTGTTCGCAATAACATAGCCTAAAAAAAAAAATTTTTGTTTTTAATTACCTTGTTTTCTTTTTCTTCCAACTTTTTGAGGTGCAGATTTTATATCAATACTGTTGTTGGATTTCCCTACTTGAGATTCTTCCTTACCTACATATGTGAATAATTGAAATCTATAAACAAAATGTAATTCTTTGTATTTTAATTAAATACCTTTTTCATCAACAGTTAACGAAATTTTACCAAGTTTTACTTTCATGTCAGAGTCCAGACAGCTTTCATAAAATTTAACAAAATTTGTAAGCAATCTGTAACATTTATCACAAATATATTCTGTATTCAAAAGAGAAGGAGTTAATTGTGGTACAAACAATAAAATTCGATCTTTAATTGATTTTCCAAGCAAATGTTTTTTCAGGAGATGGGCAGAGTCTATTTCAATAATAGCTAAGCAAGCTCTACATCTTACTTGTTTGCCACATATTTTGATTTTTTTATGTTTTTCTTCTTCTAGATCATCTTCTGTTTCAGATACATATGCATCATATTTTTTTGGTTTTAGTATCCCTAAAATACACATAAATTTTAACAATGCACAGTAAAAAAGCCTAGATGGAATACAACCAAGGTTAACAAAGGGATTATACATATTTAAAATAGGTATATAAGCTTGTCCACATACTTAGTGATCTTCTAGATCTTTTTAAAGGAACCGTTTCTGGCTTATCTGCAGCAAGTTTAAATGGTTTATCTTCAAATACAGTAGGAATAGCATTGTATTTTAAAGGTCTTCTTCCATCTTGTCTGTTATTCTCAAATTGATCATCTTTAAAATGTTTCTAAAATAATAACAGATAAATATTTAGTTAATTTTAGCGCGAGGTAAATTATGTTTTACTAACTTCGCAAACAAATATATTTGAGGGTAATTCTTTTCTGTTAATATTTTGAATCCAAGTATTTCTTCTCTCCTCATTTCTATCTCCTTGGGGAAGACTAAAAAGACGATTGCCCCGTTCAGTTCTACTTCCACAATAAACAACAGAGCAAGCTGGCATTTTTATTTAAAAATTCCAGAATTATTTCTTCATATTTATAACAAACTTAATTGACATTTAGAATTTGGGTTAAAAAATGGCGAACTAGGCGAACTAACGCAAAACAACGCAACTATTTTCTTTAGTCTTTTCTTCTACTTCTACTCACGTTAAACTGAACTACCTGTACCGAACTACTGAACATTGAGGACCACTATGAAATGCGGAACGTAACTTGACTTTTGTGCCTTCATAAGTCATATTTAAATGTTTTATGTTCAATCAAATGAGGTTTTGTGATTCATTTGAAATTATTGAGCGTTACCGTTTAGAATAGAAGGAATTTGTATAATATTTAAACTGTTTTCCAGTATTAATCATAACATAAAGTGAAGTGCCTTTATACAAATGTATTAGACCTTTTCAACTTGTTTTATTAACATTTGATTATATTTATGTATTAAGAGCTTAAATAGAAACCTTTTTTGTTTGTGTTTAATCAAAATGGACGCTTTTACAGAGGTAAGATTAAAACCACCCTAATTTTCATGATTTATATTGAATTGTAATTGTTTACAAAATTACATTTTCAAATACATTTTCGTCAATTTTAGAATATTCTTGCAAGAGCTAGAGAGAGACAAAAGCTTCTAGAGGATTACAATGGTGTTGAAAGAACACCTCTACATGAGACAAATGTACCAATTTCAGAAACTAGAAAAAATCAGAAAGAATATCTTTCTGATTCGAACATTCATTCTCTTTCAACAAATATTGACTCTCAATTAAAGGAAAATAAGTCTGAGAGCAATTTGAGTAGGTTTACTAAACAAAATTCAAGAACTAGGGTCTCCTCTGAAATGCCAGCTTCTCCAAAAAGTCAAATGAAAACTTTAAACATCCAACAAGATAATTTCAACATGGAAATTAAAGTAACTTCCACAGAAAATGTGAGAGTAGAAGTTGAAATTGCTGAGACTGATGATGATAATGATACTGCTAGTGATACGGGTATGAGGACAGAATCTAAAAGCAAGTTAAAACGTTTAGGACAATTATATGGAGGTAAGATAATATTTATCTTATTATTTACAAATAATTCTTGATTTTCATTACTATCTAAACAGTGTATTATTTGCATGTTAATGAGTTTAATTTACTTGAAGGTGGAGATGAAGTAAACATTTCTTCTCCAATTCATAGAACAGAAGCAAAATTTTGTGCCAATGAAAGCATTGTAGATGGTTGTGAAAAGCAAGATAACATTTCTAAAACTCCTAGGAAAGGTTTGAGTAAACTAGCACATTTAGCTGAGACTATCAATCAATGGGAAGATGATCTACATCATGTGAGTTAACCCTTGTAAATACCATTATGTAAAATGAAAAAATAATGTCCATGTCAGAAACAATGCTATGCTGCTTTATACTAGATTTAAATTATTGTATCTCCATTGTTATACATTTAAAGAAAAGGTGTTTAAAGTTTTGGAATAGTAGTGACTACTTTTTGAAAAATCGAAAATTTGGATTGATTACAGTACCATCAGTACCATAATGTCAAAATATTCTAATTTGTTTCCAATAAAATATCGCGACGAATTGATAACCTCCTCCTTTTTTGAAGTCTGTTAAAAATTAGATTTTTATGACTTAAAATGCTTTACAATTGACAGAAAAAGTCAGAGTTTGGAAATTGACTTTTAGGAACTAATAGTACTAGATTTTTCAATTTAAATTAATCTTATGGTATATAACAAAAAAGTTCAAATCTTTAAAAGAAAAACTGGAGATATACTTAATTCGTCAACACATAGGAAACTTTTTTATTATTAGTTTTATGCAAAAAAGTTATTCTACATGGTCTAAAACCAAAAATAAAACAGAATTTTTTCAGTTGTATATATGATTGTTATTAAGAAAAGTTGATAGAAATTAAAAACTATGGTCAGATATTCATTTCTTGTAAATTCTAATTAGTGTTTTGACATTTTATTTGTGAACTTGACACGTTACGTGTTGAATAGAGAGACATTATTTTTTTCTTAAAATTCTTGAACACAACTGAGTTAGTAATATTTAGGTACAGATTGAAAACAAAAAATCTCCTAAAAAAATATGGAAGCCACAGGCGCCGCAACCCCCAAGCTTACCTTCCAACAAAAATAGTCCTGTTAAGTCTTCTGGTAAACCAAAAGCTCCAGAACCACCAGTACTTAGGGAAGTTAGTTCTCCAAAAAAAGTAACACATTCCAGTACTTCCTTCCAAGAATGCACAACAAAACAAAACAGCCCTAAAAAGGATACCATACAAGTAGTTGGAGTGATTGCAAAAAATGTTAATTGGGATAAAAACGTTTTGGACAAATTGGTAAGTTGTTAATAGTATAAAATGAAACTTTTATTTTGCTTTCATTAAAACTACTTAGTATATTCATATGTTCTTATCGTTTCATCTTCATCACTATAGGAATCACAAGGTTTCACTAGAACAAACTCCAAATCTCGTATAGTATATTCATATAATAATTCACAGGACAAAAGCACAGACACTAAGGTTCAAGAAAAAGACAAGCAACTAAAAATAGTTCAAGAAGAACCACTCAAAGAAAACAAAATCAAACAATTAACAAACGCTTTGGAAGCGAGAATTGAAGCTGAAGCTGAGAAACCTGTTAGTCCTACAAAAACTAAATCAATCAGCTTTGTTAAACAGCCCACTAGTCCTGTAAAACAGCCACCAAGTCCTATGAGGCAACCTACAAGTCCTGTCAAAAATGTACATTCAAGATTGAATAACATAGCTGAGATAGCAGCGGTGTTTGAAAATAGTCCTACAAAATCGACTAAGGATCCTGCTTTAATGTCTGTGTCTGAAAGAAAAGCTTTATTTGAGAAAAACAAGGGCGATGCTTTGGTACCAAAAGCAGCATTTGGTATGGCTCCCGCTGTAAAGGTGGAAACTGTAATGAAAACTAGCAGCACCAAGATTATAAATCCTGGCAAGTAGAATCACATTTTAAACCAGAATTTAGTGTTTTTATATTAAATGCATGAATCTTTATTAGTAGGAATATATCCTAATATAAAATAATACAATAGTAAAAATATAATTAAATGTTTACAATTTAAAACTTACTGCTAAAGTGAAACATAAATATTTAATCATTTTTTCAATAATTGGTATAAATTCTCACTATTTCTAATATTTGTTGATAATTGATTGTAATATTTGACTAAGACTTTAGAAATCAGACCATTAAAATTGAAGTCATTCCTGTGTGGTAAAGCATATTACAACTTAGACGAATTCTCCTGTGATTCAGTAATTATATAAAATATTGATTATTAAGAACAAAAATAATAATTACTAAAAAATGGTAGATTATGTAAAAAATGTATTTAATGTGTATTTATATATAAAATGTATATTTATGTACTATGACATTACACCTCTAAAGTTATTTTTCAAGTAAATAAAGATTTATTTTCTCTTTCTTCGAGTCCTTTATAAATTACTATTGTAGATCCAACTTTGAAACCATCAAACGTAAATAAAGAAAAAGTAGTGGTGCAAATAGAACCTGTAAGATCCAGATATCAAAGTCCACCCAGAAGTTCAAAGAAGCCTCCAGCCCCCAAACCTCCAGTAGAAAGAGATTCCCCTACTGTAGCTGCCGTTCAACAAGCAGGTGGTATAGCCAGTAAGATGGCGGCACTCTTAGAAAACAAGGTGACCATTTCCCAATGTCAGATCGAGAACAGCACTAAGAGCGAAAGGCAGAAAGAGATGGATATGTTGTTGAACAGATTTAATAGGAATAAGGACATAGCGACTGATGTCATTGAAGAAGCATCAGATGAGGATGATGAGACTGATGCCACGGAAGAGTCTGCTATGATAAATTCAAAATCTGCCAAAATAGTGATGTCTGATAATGATAGAAGGAGGTCTGGAGAAAAAAGGAAGAGTGGTGGAAAGCCTTACAGTGAGTATAAATTAAATTACATCTAGAAATGTTCTTTATATTATTTTCTCGGTTAACTCAGTTGAAATTGTTTGATACAAATACATGACAGTAAAGACTCTATGCTGAGCATTTTCTTCAGCAGCCCCATTACCAAAATCATATCTGTCAGTTTAATACTAGTAAATTTATGAAAAAACATTTCATTAAAAAATTAAATTAAACTTAGCACCATTGCCAAAGTCAATTTGATAACAATGCCAATGGTTCCAAATGACAAAAATATGATGGTGTTATCCCTTTTATATGAAAATTTGTATATCGTGTTTTTGAGGTAGCTGATTAAGAACGGAAATTTAATATAAAATTACTGAACTAAAAAAATTAAAAAACAAAATGGCGGACAAAAATTAATATAAGTGTCGAATATACATAAAATTTATGATATAGCTTTCCCCTGTCGCTTGTAATTAAAAATTTTAATAACAAAATGGTGAACCCAATATGGCGGATAAAAATGTAAAAATTAAATGTTATTGAAGTATGTAACAGATTAAAAATCTGAACAAAAAAAAATGGTGAATTAAATATGAATACATTTTTATACTTTCATAAAATTTCGAATATAGTGCTTTTTGAGGTGGCTGATTAGAAATATTAAATTCAAAATTTGAATAAAATGGATTAAAATTGTAAAAATCCTATTTTAATGAAATTTTGATTTAAGGGTTTTCTGAGGTCCCTGAATCTGAACAATCATATTTTCATAAAATTTCGGATATAGGACTTTTCGAGGTGGCTGAATAAGTATCTGAAATTAAAAAAAATTGACTTAATATGAAAGACAAAAGCTATAATGTTTTAATGAAATTTTATGGTTTTCTGAGGTTGCTAATTGAGAATCCATACTAAAAATTTGAAGAAACAAAATAACAGATCCAATATGGCGGATAAAAATTAATAAAACTTATATTTACATAAAATTTTGAGTATAAGACTTTTAGAGGAGGCTGAATAAGAATCTGAAATTAACAATTGAAGCCCTTGGTGTAAAAAGGATACCAGCCACAATTTGTTGTGTCTGTTTTAGCTCAAAACATATATTAATAAGGATACTAGCCACATACAAATTATTTTATCTCTATTTCGGATTAGAGGCACTATTTTTAACCGACTTCAAAAAAGGAGTTTCTCAATTCGTCGTAATATATTTTTTTTATGTATGTTCAGCGATAATTCTTTACCACCTTGTCCAATTTCTATGATTCTTTTTTGTTAGTAAGGGGGTACCTCCGGGGTGGTTCCATATAAATTTGGTCAAAATCTAATAATTGGATCCATGAGAAAAATCCTCAAACTCTTCATTTTTTATGTATATTTAGCGATAATTCTTTACCACCTTGTCCGATTTAAAACAAATTTAAAAGGTCTTCAATATTAATAACAAAATGGCGGATCCAATATGGCGAGCAAACATCATATTTTAATAAAATGTTGAATATAGGGTTTTTCTGAGGTCACTGATAGATAATATAAACTAAAAAAATAAAAACAATAACATATTTAATATGGTGGACATTATTATTGATACAATTTAAGTAATTAAATAATTTGATAATACATTAGATAATTAATGTAAATGTTATTCGCAACTAATTGCTCATTTTGTAAAGGGTACTTACCTCTATTTTGACATAGTTGAAGTCAAATGAAAACTGATAGCCTCCTCGTTAACAATAACCAAGGTTGCCTTTGTTTGCACTCACTACAAATGTAGTGTCGAAGTTTGTTATTTTGACATCTGCTTAAAACCAGAGCAAATCATGGTTGCTTCAATGTTTAATTAATATTTTTTTTTTTAATTCAGCTTGAAATAATCTGCAGTTTTTGGTTATTAAACTTTCAGTACTAATCAGTTGGTAATGATTTAACAGGTAAGGGAGACAGTCCTATTGTAGCGGCCGTACTAGATGATGTAAAACGCATCAAAGTCACCGGACCTAAAGAGGGCAGATTGTATCCGAATCTTTCCGATATCGAAGCGACTACAGAAACTGAGACCAGGACACCTTCGCCCGACGAAGACAACAACAGCAGGTGCGATACAGCTACTAACTGGATTTTATTTTGTCTGTGTTTAGTGTGATCAGTTTTTAATTTAGGTGGTGGGAATGCTTATAGGTACATGCGACCCATTAAGATAATCATTAGATAAAATGTTACAAAGATGCGATTTGTAACTTCATTTAATATTTAAATGTTTGGGTTACGTTTTTGGGTATGTTGTCATTAGTTTTTAGTGGTGTCTATTTCCAGATTTATTTATTTAATTTATAGTATCTTTAACTATATTTAGATAGCCTTGTCTAAATAGAGTTGACATCCGAAGAGGTAGTTGCTATTTTTGCTAAACACCAGTATTTCTACCATTACACTTATGAAAGATAATACTCATCGTTCCTTTCGCATTATTAGGTTCCTTTGTTCCCATCACATTTACTAAGTAAGTTTACTATCCAGTGGACGTTTTGATAATAGGTACTTTACCATGAAAATTATATAATTATGGGTATTGCAAAAAGTATTATATTAGTATTAAAATTTACAAGACAAGCATGTGATTAAGCATAAAATATAGTCAATATTTCAGTATTATATTGATTCTGATATTGCTATATACAGTAAGACTAAAAGATTTACTTTTTTTATTCATTTCTAAGAAGTAGAAGGTTTTTCCTTTTTCTAAAAGATTATTAGGTATCAAAAGAGGTGGAATAATTACAGATTTTAACAAATTTCATATGCATATAAAGGGTATTTTTAACTTCATGCAAAAAGCCTGGTAAGAAATGTGTTGTTGAAAATGAGGAGGGGGGGATCTACAACAAAATTTTCTCTACCCAACTACTTAAAAGATATCAGCCCCGTAAAATTTATCTATTCAAGTATTTTGTTTTGGACGATGTTGTAGAAAAATTTCCGAAATTATCCAGATAAAAAAAGGTGTTAGAATCACTGGAATTCCTTGAGGAACAAGATGTGCTAATATATGGAAGTTCCCGATATGGCTACACCCCTCTCTATAAGTGGATTAAATTAACAACCCTAGTTTTATTTTGAACTTCTTGTCGTGTTGAATTTCATGAATTATAAATATTCGGAATTCTTATTTTGTTTGTTAACTTTTTATATCTTGCTTTTTTCCATAGAACTAATAATTTTCTAACAAAAAAATAAAAATACAATACCATGCCTTGTTTTGAACTACAATTTAGATTCAAAGAGTAGGCTGCTGTCATATTAACAATTCTATTTATTTTATATTAAATATTAGCAGACTGCTGTCAAGTTGGATTTGGGAAAAAAATTAAAAAGTCAATTTTACTTACAGCCTCATAATTTTCAACGAGGCTTCTCCTTCAAAAGGTTTTCTCATAAATTTAGAAATGCCCTGTAGTTGTAGATATAGTAAAATTTCCAGTTATTAAGTTATTCTCATTTTGTTATTTATAACCGTCTACTGTGCAGCAAATTTTAAATGGTAATTATAATTAAATGTTTATATGATAGAAAAATAATATATAATAGTCCACAGTACGACCACCCCTGTTTTGCTTGCTTACTAAATATTTAAAATTTCTTAAGTGGCTTAATTTTTACGAGTCAGGCCACACTTTTCCTCTGAAAATTAACGATAACGGCTGAACATATCGTTTTTACGATGTTATATACTTCTTTTGCTGCAAAATAGAAAGATTATTTAATAATAAACACGAAACAAGGCTTGACAGACAGAATTAATTGGAGCTATTGATGAGGCCACCAGCTGCAATATGTCAAAATAATGAGGTTATGTTTTCTAATTACTATATAATTAATTTTTGAAGGATTGTTTAATAAATAAACCCTCAACCAATCGGTCATAGTGACTTCCAAATTGAAAGCGCCCTTTTTTCAGTCCGACGACCTGAATATGTAATTTTTACAATGAGTAGTATGCTGATTACCACATGTTGGACAAAAATCACCCACAATAGATAAGTGTATATTTAATAACCGAATATTGCAATGTCTGATAAAAATATTGCACCTTTGAATAATAAGCTACGTATAAATAATTTGACATATTGTGTAGATCGTTAAAGTAAAAATCGACTAATTCTGTAATAAGAAAAAGAAATTCTATATTAAGTTTCACGATATTTAATTACAGGCCCAAAATATTAATAAAATATGCAATATCAGACGACAATTGATGAAATGAAAAACTTTGAGGCCCTTCAAACCGGCTGGCAGTCATAAGCTAAATGTCTAAATGTTAACTAAAGAAGTTGGTCAACACATGGGGCAATAGAGGCAGCTTCGTCAAAGTACTCGCTCAAAACGGTTACATTTCGTCATGACAGGAAATAGGTACACTGTCCATTTATCGAAAATTTATAAATTATGTTTTATCATTATTATTTTGCAGTAGCAATTTTGTCAGTTACTAATTCATTTCAAAATTAAAAACAAAATTTAAACTTATGGTAATTGGCATACTGCCCATCGTAATATTGACATTCAGGTTGTGGGACTGAAAAATTTGGTGGTCACTAAGACCGATTGGGTAGGGTGTATTTATTAAACAATCTTGGGAAAAATCATTATGTGGCAAATAGAAAACAGCCTCGTTATTTTGGCATGTTGCAGCTGGTGGACTCCTAGATAGCCAGATTAATTTTGTTGGTCAAGCCTTGGTTCATGTATATTATCAAATGATCTTTCATTTGTTCTAAAAAAGAAGTACATGGGCAATATATTACACAACATCGTAAAATCGACATATTCGGGCATTGTGCAGTTGAAAACGAAGCAGTTTTGTTAATTTTCACAGAAGAAAAGTGTGGTAGACATGTAAAAATTAAGCCAGTCAGGAAGTTTTAAATATGTGGTAATCAAGCAAAGCAGGGTTGAACGTACTGTGGACTATAATTCAAGACTGACTAATTTTTAGTTCAAAGTTAGTAATAAAATGCTATTATGTATATATTTTATATGATGGAAATTGTTGAAAATGGGACAAAAGTGAAATATCTCTAGAAAAAAATTGTAATTTTATTAAAACGTAATTTTTTTTAATGTTTCAATTGTTAAAGAATTTCCATCATAAAACAATTAATTTATTATCCTTCCAATAGTTCAATATAAACTCTACTATCTACCCAGTTAATTGTACAAACAAAGTGATATTCTGTAATTGTGAGATTAATATTATTGTTGAACTTGTTTTTTGGTGCTAATTGATATTAAATACAATTAAAAGTATTTGAATAAAAAACAATTTACGCTCTTCTTTCATTTCATTCATTATCACCTGCATGCTTTAAATCATTAAATATCATGCCTTCAATTAATAAAACTAGGTATTTTAAATACTCTTGCTTAATGCACTTTAGAATTTTTTTGGGACTGTTCTTTCCTATTTAGCGATTGTTATGGAATTTTTGAAGTAAGCATTTATTTATTTTTTTCCTTCGTACAACCAAGTTACATGCCTCTTCCATTTTTTTATTTTTTATTTTCTTTTAATACAGTTTTGATAGCAGTATCGATTCGGATGATCCTAACACTAGTTTTGGGCGCGATATATTACAAGCGGTATGTAAGAATCAAACTCCACAAAAAAGGGTAAGTGGGTATATTTATTTTCATTTTTAAAATCTTCAGCTTTGGCAACATCTATTTTCTTCTTCTATATTTCGTTTGTAGAATAAGGAAGAGTAAGTTCTCAGAAATGTAAATAAATATAATTTAAGGTAGTAAACAATGCAAATACATGAAATTTTCTTTGTTCAATTAGTTTTTTAAATTAGTGTGGCAGTTTAATTAGAAACTGTAGAAAAAATCAAAAGTTTTTTTAATTACAATATAAAGTAACAAAAAATATATACAAGAATTTTTACATCTTATTTTGGGACATACTTGGGACTTTTTAATATTTTTATTTCCTTTATTTGCCTAGTTTTTTTCCATTATTTTTTGTTCATGGCTAATTCCTGCCAATTCGCTATTATTAAGTCGTCTTTGCATGCTTCTATCCATTTTTTTCGTTTACATTCTCTTCTTTTCACACCATCTTTTATCAATATTCCATTTGCCCATTTATTTTTCCTCATTCTGGCTAGATGGTCTAGCTAACGTACCTGCTTCTTATGATCCTAGCTAGAATGTTCTAGCCAACATCTAGTAGAGGAAAATAATCCTGTAATTTTCACAATCTGCCGTATCATCCTCTTTATGTATATGGCAGATTATTGACTTGTCTCATTGTTTTGGCATATTTACTAGTTGTCAGATTTACTTAAGCAAAACATACACGTTTCCTCTAAATAATACATTTTCTACCCTAATTTGTTTTATTCTTCTGAGGTAGTCTCTTTTCCAATATACAATTTTGGGGAGGTTTCACCACCTTATTATTTTTTCCATTGTTATAGAAGATACCTAAATAATGCAGGAAATGTAATTTTTATCTTCAAATAGATAAATATAATGTAAATTAAATGTTAAAAATCAAATTTCACCGCATATATTGTAGTATGATTTGTTTATAAAATTTTATTACATTTCTAAGACTGCACTCCCTGTTCTTTAAACTCAAACTATATATTTCATCGCACCTTCCATCTAAACGTTTTTCTATTACTGCAATGTATTATCTCTTGCATATGTATTTTTCAAATTGTGTGTATGATTATTGTAGCCAATATATGATGAAAGTACAGCCAGCGATATTTCTAGTATCCTAGATGATATGGATAATTATTTAGATGAACTGAGCAACGAGGATAATGCCAGTGTTGGTCCAACTCCTCCGAAACAAGTTCGTCAAGTAACCCCACAAGTACGTTTTTAAATAAAGAAATTAAAAACGAATAAAATAGCTGCTCAGAAAACCTTGTGATATCATAAATAGCTAGTTTCAACAGTAATGGGTCATCTTCACTTTGTAATTATTATTTTTAGAAAAATGCAGCGCAAGCATCCAATTCTTTTCACTATAAAAACTATTCACCGAGAGTAGATACGCCTAAAAAACCTAAGGACTCTCCTGACAAAAGTTTGCCAGAATTCATCATTGAAGGTGATAATATTTTACCCTTGACACATACAGTTAGTTTTTACAGGAAGCAGCAGAATCTGGTGAGTTATACATTTAAAAATACTTTATTTCTACCTTTGTTTGTATAATAACATTTTAAAAAAATTAATACTTATTGTAGGCCCAATCACCTGCACGTCAAATATCGAGACAACCCATTCTAGAAGAAGCACCACAAGATAATAAAGATGAATGCCTACTTGTCAATGGAAAAATAAAAGAATTACAAGACGAGGTCCATAGGCAACAAAATATAATCTCACAGACGAGCCAAGCTTTGAATTTGTGCAGTTGTACTCCAGAATTTTCCGGGTCAACAGAACAAGTCGAGGCTGAGAGGGTTCTACTTGTTGCAAGTAAGACTTTTTTAATATTATCGTTCGTATATATATATATATAAAAAAAAAGAACATTTATTCTATTCAATAAAGAAATCTCGGAGAAAATGTCACAAAATATACCAGCGTGATATTGTCTTCCGAGATTTCTTGGTTGTTTACATTTTGGTAACATTTGAGTTTGGAATATTTTCTTTCATTTTCTTGTATGTTGAATTCAGGGCTTATATTTTGTCATTTTAGCACACAGACGACAATCAGCCTTACACGAAATACAAAGGTTAAAAGTTGAGGGTACCATCAGACCACAAGGTCAACACTCTAAAAACGTGCCTTTAGAAAAAGGAACATTAACCATTTCCAACATTGTGCTACCCTTGAAAAGTAAATACGTCAAAGCTTTGGCGGCTGGTAAGTAATATTTGTTTTTAAAAGAAAAATATGAACTTAAAATGGTTTGATATTTGTTTTTATTTATCTAGTTACTTCTTTTGGGGTAACAAGTTTTATCTCATCTTGCCCTTCTATTGATGTTTCCTTTATGACATTTTCTATTAAATTAAATTAAAAAAAATTGTATTTTAGCTGGCGGCAAAGGACATCACATAGTATGTCTGATAAAATGCGGTGACCAAGTTGTACCTGCAAAACTGACCTCGACAGTCATTCACAGCGCTAAAAATCCCGATACGGATCTAATAATTCCTGGAAACGTTGTATTGCATAACATATACAGTGACTTTACAATAACGTTTGAAGTTTACTGTCTGCAAGCTCAAGAAGAATTTTTACCACACGAGGTCAAATACCATATTAACAATAAGAAGGTAAATAGAATATTTATTATTATGGGGCAAAGAAAATTCATGACCAAAATATATTATAAGATAATAATAACCTAGAAATAAAATATACAAGGGCTGTTCTCTTTTCACTGAGCTGGCGTTACTGTGCCAGAATGGCGTTTAAAAGCGCCGAAAGTTGTGACAGTCGATAATTCAGTCCAAACAATTACACCAATGATGTCTATAGTTATATAGATTGCTCACCCATATGCAAATAGTCAAATTTTATTGTAATATAATATAAACATTATATTAAAATGGGGAAAACGTGTGCAATCAAAAGTTGTACAGGTGGTCACAAAACTTCAAAAAATAAAAAAGACATGCGACACTCGTTTGTGGAAACGCTTGTCAGTGTTCGTAACTGATCCCTGTGGGAACAAACCTAAAGTCAACTTTTACGGCGTATTCCGGTACTCTTGATTTTAGCTATCTCTAGCAGAATAAAAACTTACTGTTACATTGACAGAAGATTCTGCAAATTTATTATTTTTAAATTCGTCTCCTAAATGTAAAAAGAAAGATATTTTAATATTGCCATAGCTTTTTATGTAATAAGTATTTGGATTAATAGGAGAATTTATGAAAACGTCGTAAGCTGTGACAACAAAAGAAAATAATATATATGACCTTTTTTGATTGCAATAATAAAAAATAATTACCTTAATATAATCAATTTTGTGACTTCTTTGAAATGAATCACATAACTAACAACTTTATTTGACCTTAATTTATCATTCGTTTTGTATTTTATAAATAGATCATGGTTAAGACTTTGAATTTTATTTTCCTTATTGGATAACCTTCTTATCCATTTACTAATGTGTTTAATTTTAACATCTATAATTAAATAATGTATGGTTTCTTTTAGTCTGGGAATAAATTGGTAACACCCAAAAAATCTAAACAGGACTCCAGAATGGTGATGCCTATAAAGGAATCACCAGCTGGTCCTCAGGCTGTAAGGACCTCTTCATTTGCTCTGATGGGATACGCTGTTTTCTCAGTCCAAGCCGTAAATAAGAGAATTTGGAATCTAAATAATGTAAGAATGAAATATTGTTACATTTTAACTGCTGTATAAAATATTTTTGAAGAATTACTGAAAGTGTTAATTTCTTCTAGACCCCAGCCATGAGTCCATTGGAAGGTACAGTTGAAATGAAGATTTGTTGTGAACTAGCTGTTTCAGTCGAACATCGAGGTTTTTTGACAATGTTCGAAGACGTATCTGGATTTGGGGCATGGCACAGACGTTGGTGTTTGCTCAAGGGTCACACAGTGAGCTACTGGAAGTACCCAGACGATGAAAGGAAAATGGTAAAGTTTCTTTTATAATAATAGTATTTATTGCTCAACAGATTTATAAAATCCCTTGACAGAGCAAATAAATGAATTACTACAATAAAAAATGATAAACACAATACCTATTATAAAGTAGACATAAATTTAATAGAATCTTTCGTATTTATAGAAAAAATATTAATGAAAAACTTTTTTTATATTGTCTGTAAAGATGTCTCATAAATTGTTAAAATAATCTAATCAAATCATTTTATTTTCAGGCTCCCATCAACTCGATAGACCTTAAAAATTGTATTACAAATGAAGTCAAACCAGTTAACAGGGAAATTTGCGCCAGGCAACATACTTTCTTGCTGGAAATGGAAAGACATGCTTACTCAACGGATAAAGATAGTTTGATTACTATCTGCAAAGGAGATAAAACTATCATAAGGTAATTAGTAATTTTCGAGTAATATGAATCAAGAAAGACAAGTTATTCCTTTTTGACACTTCCAAAAAAAAATAAAACATGGCTAAAACAGATCAGGGTTACAAGTGAATTAGTGTATTTACGTCGGCGATATTCTTACCCAACTTGTGAACTATCGTAAATTAAATATCAAGGTACTATATTATACAGGGTGGTCCAGTTTATATCGTCCGGATTTTACCAGCTGACAGTTTATCAAAAAATAAAGGTACTTTGTCCTATAAAATATGGTCCAATTCTGTTTCTTTTTTGATGTACACGGTATTGAAGTTTTTTTTAAAATAGTTTGTTGACGTTTTTAATGAAAATTTCTGTTTGTTGACAACTTTAAGAGGTGCCTTTCGGACATATTAGACTTGATCTAGTAATTCCAGAGGAATGCTCACAGAGCATTTCGATTAGTTTTCAGCACAAAAAATATCGCCTAGATACTCCTACACCCCTACAGACAGGCCTTGTTACTGTTTCCTTGCGCCACTTTAGGAACAGCACTGTTAATTAGAACCCAACAGTGAATGGTCGAGTGGGGAATCCTACCAAGGCATCAGAATTAATTTTAAATAATTAAATTTAAAAAATCCCTGCCAACGGTGGGATTCGAACCTGGGACCCTTGGATCCACAGGCAGAGACTCTACCACTGAGCCACCCCACCCTCTTCAAGGAAACAATTTAAACTAAATATTTTGCACATATCTGAATACCTGAACCTTGTACATCAAAAAGAAGAGGTAATTAGATGGTAGTTTATTTTTTTCAATAAACTATCAGCTGGTGAAATCCTGATGATATAAACTGGACGCATCAGACTGTGAAAATTTTGTACAATATAGAGAACTTCTAAAATTCAAATTCTTGCTGTTATTTTGGTTCTTGTATGTCAATCTTTTAAAATGTAATGTTTTTTTAAAGTTCAATTTGTTTGTTTTTAATTGTTAATTTATTTGGTAGGATTCCCCACTCGACCATTCACTGTTGGGTTCTAATTAACAGTGCTGTTCCTAAAGTGGCGCGAGGAAACAGTAACAAGGCCTGTCTGTAAGGGTGGAGTATTAGAGTACTAATACTCCTGCACTATGGAGTATTAGACTACTAGTACAATCCATAACCTACATAGAACACTAGGCTAATGACCTTAGATGTTGAAGCCACACACCAAAAAGAAAAAAAAATGTTAATTTAAAATTAACTGACGAATTTTAAATATCCTGGTAAATTATAGAGCCATATATTTTAATATAATGTATCATATAATATAATTATTAGAGGATTATCCCATAGTCACGTGTAGGCCATTATGTTTTGTTTGCATTTTTAAGTGAAAAATGGTTATGAATATATTCTTTAGAAAATTAGACTCTAATTGTATTTTTCACTTGTTTCATTTTGAAATAAACTGTGATTTGGACGATTTTGCCACCCTAGCAGATTATTCTAGTACCCTGGTCAATTTTAGCCATTTTTTTAAAGAGTCATGTTTATTAAAATAAATTACATTATTTTTTAGGCATTTACTGTCAGCTGACACAAAACCAGAAAGAGTACAATGGTGTACGAAATTTAACGCTGCCTTGACTGCATTACGAATGTGGGGAAACACGCAGCAATAGATATTCTTAAACTGTTTGTTAGTTTTTGGTTTTTTTATCATTCAATACTTAATATTGTTTTTTATAGATTTTAATATCATATTTTAAGTAATATAACTGCGCGCTTTTTATGTTTTTATTTAACCAGATTTATTTGTATAAAAAAATAAATATTTACACAAAAAATTTTAACAATTGTTTTAAGCTAAACCTATTTCCTTTTCATACTCTTCATCAGATATTTTCTTTTTCTTCAGTTTCTTTAGTAATGCTACATCTTTTTTCAGTTCTTCCAGGTCTTCTTCACTTATACCTAAATCAAATTGAGTCAATACAACTTTTAAATTATCAAAGAGTAAGAATAAAAAAAGACAGTCCTTAGATGATCTTAATACAGTTATGCTTTCTTTACGTGGTAACTAGTATTTTCGACCAAGGCTGAATTGAAAAATTTGATAGTAAACGAAGTGGAATGTGATTCATTTATAAAAATGGTCCTATAGATACAATTACAATCCCTCAAACATTCGGTAAGCAGGTAAATAGCATAAAATCTGGAATAATATTTCATTTATGCAGACTTTGTCGTTTCAATCATTTGAGACAGGTATGACAAGGATGATGTTTCTAAGGACACCGGTGTAGTGCTACAAAATATCAACAAAATGAATAACTCAAAATATTTTTTTGTAATATAGCTCCAAACTTTATTGTGAAAACTATTGAATTTTTATAGTTGTATATTATTTATGTTCAATTAGGGGATGTTCTTTTTAATAATTTTGTGAGGTTTTCCAATACATCAAAATCCGTATTCATCATGAAATACAATAACATATATAGGAATCAATGTAAGCAACATTAATACTGTCCGTATTTATAAACAGAACTCACCTGAGTTGGACTTCAGTAAGTCATCCTTGAACTAAAATCGAAGTTTGGTTACAATGTCTCTAAAGTTCCAGGTGGTTCCGGTGTTACACTCGAATTTAGAAATGGATATTAGCAAATCTGTAACTGTTATGTACATTTACGGATTTGTTACTACCCATCTCTAAATTCACAAGATACTTTGATTTTAGTTCAAGGACAACTTACCCAAGTCCGACTCAGCTGAGTTTTGTTTATAAATACGGACCTAATTAAAAGTAATATTTTTAAAACATGTAAGTAGGTCTCATCTTGGAAATCTTTGGTAAAATTGTATACTTACGTTTTCTTTTCTTCTTTTTTATTTCTCCCAGTGCCGCCAATTTTGCTTTTTTCTCTTTCCTTTTCTGGCGTTTGCCTTTTTTTTCTTCTTTTTTAAGTTTCGTTAGCGACCATGATTCTGTGGGTTTCTTGATGAACTTTTGTTTGCGTCCTGGCCATTTGCCTAGAAAACATTTAATTGTATCAAACATTTTTAAGCTATTGCATAGCTTTTATCGCGGGCTTTGAGTGCGGCGACCCAATCAAGAAATTCCGTAACGAAAAAAAAAACACCCCCCCCCCCACTCCGACCGGCACAGCGGTGCGGCGTTAAACAATATTAACTTCTCATTTATTCAATAAAAGAAAATCGTAAAATCCAAAAATTGAAAAATCGAAAAAAAAAATCCGTAACGAAAATAAACCTAATACCCTTCACTCCGACTGGCTCAGCAGTGCGGCGTTGAAAGCCGTGCATCGTCTAACGTTACAGTTCGGCAGACTTCGGCACGGTGTTTTTGTGCGTGCGACTAGTTGTATGCGTGTAGACTAGCTGCTAACTGATTCTATCTCTTTTAGACACAATTTCGGAAAAATTGAATTTGAAAATGAATAATGATCCACAAGAATCCACAACAAAATATGGGACCACCATTGATGCGGTATTTTCCAGATATTTTATGTTTCTTATTTCAGTTACCATAAACCTATAGTTTCAATGATAAAAATTCCTGAATAACCTACATGTATTGTAAGATAATAAAAATATTTTAAACAATATTTATTCAATAAAAGAAAAAAATTGTTTTCTTATCGGTCACCACGCTCAAAAAGTGTAACTTGAATTAATGTCAAAGAAAAAACTTTAATTAATATCAAAGAAAAAGATACTGCATAAATAAAATAAATAAATAATTATAATTGCATAAGTTGATAAAAAATGCTATGCAATAGCTTTACCGCGGCAGTCCCCGAGTGCCACAAGTATTTTTTTTTTGACCATCACTGTTACATGATTATCTTCATTACCTGTTACTTTATACTCTTCTAACTTCTGTAGCCTTATCACTTCTCTTACTTTATCCTTATAGGGTATGGTATTTATATCCAATACTGGCACTTCTGGAAAATCTGAAGTGTCTCTGTTTTTCAATTCAGGCATTTTTGGTAGCTGAAGTAATCCATAAGAAGCTGCAACAGCCCCCAAAGGCAATTCCTAAAAGAAATTAATTCTGAATAATGAAAAAATTCAAATGGGTCAACAATTAGCTTACCTTAACTTTTAACAATAAAGAACATTCATGTTTAGAGTAAGCTTGAATATGAGACACAAAAGCTTGTGTAGCCTTTTCCATTATAGCCCTATCTCTTTTTAATATATTTCGAATTTGCTCTCTTATAATTTCAGGCTAAAAGATAATTAAATTCCATAAAAAAAAGATAGAAATTTTTAAATGGAATAATCCTCACCCTTTTGTCAGATGCCAGATCTTCTGTTGGGATTAGTTTTACTCTTTGGTTATTTTCTATAAATGAAACATATGCCTCCTCATTTTCCAATAAGAGTAAAAGAGCAGACCCTAGCTGTCCTTGTCGAGCTGTTCTGCCAACTCTGTGAACAAAGGCACTAGCACTCGCAGGAGGGTCCCATTGTAGCACCCAGTCTACCTAAAAATAATTTTTTAATAAAAAACATTAAAAATGTATGTGCACATAGTTTAAAAACATTATTAAACTCTTACTTGTGGTATGTCAATACCTCTTGCTAATACATCCGTACACAGCAGTAATGCTTTCTCAGCTGTCCTGAATTTATCCAAAACTTTCTGCCTTTTCTCTTTCATTTTCCCATGTATAGCCAAAACTGGCAAGTTTAACTTTTTAGGGACAATATGAGGGAAAATATGTGACCAATAATCAACGACAGCACAAGTGGGCAAAAATAGTAAAGCTTTTTGTACATTTTTAGCTTCAATGAAGGATATTAAAGAAGCCAATTTTCCTAAAAAAATGAGTACATTATATTTTGTACATTCATGTTTATTACATCTTACCATTATTTCTTGTTACTGTGTAGTAATTAGTTAACAACTCTGGTGTACTATGCGTGGCTTTAGCTGTCACACTAACTAAAACAGGATTTCTTAAACCAGCTCGAATTAAACTTTGAACTTCTTTAGTTTGTGTAGCTGAAAATAGACCTGTTCTCCTTTGTCTTGGTAAATAACTCAAAATGGTATCCAGTGTTTTTTGAAAACCTAAATCTAACAACCTGTCTGCTTCATCGAGTATAAGCACTTCCTAAAAATAGTACATTTGGCAATTTTATGTATGTAAAATATATCTAAAGATATTACCAAACTCTTTAATGATTTTGCAAGATTTAAATCATATTTTCGTGTTAACAAATCTTCTAATCTACCTGGAGTGCAAATTATTATATTGCCACCATTAGATTTTAAATTATTAACATCTTCTTCTACGCTGTTGCCACCCACCAACAATATTTGTGTTACATTCTAAAAAAAAAACTTAAAATATTTTATCATTAAAATTAGTTAAACTCACTTTTACATGAGCTAAGAGTCTGTCTAGAACGTCTTTAGTTTGTAAGGCTAATTCCCTTGTGGGAGAGACAACTACAGCTCCAATTTGATGTTTTTCCCACTTCTCTTCAACTTCTCGTTGTTTCAATATTTGCAAAATTGGTATTAAAAATGCTAGAGTTTTTCCAGATCCTAAAGAAATATTTCTCTTATTCTTAATAATGCATTTATAATCTATGTAGACTATCATTACCTGTAACTGCCTCTGCTGCTACATCTTTTTTCTTTAACAATTGTGGTATGGTGTAGGCCTGAATTGGTGTCATTGTTGGAAAATTGAAAGATTTAATACCATTTTTTATTTCTTCGTGGAGTAAATGCTCTAGTTCAGACCAGCTTTTCAACATCTTTATATTAAAATATTTCCAAAATTTAAAACCATAAAATAAGGTTAAATTCTTCTTTTTTAATAAAAATTTATTAAAACTATAATTAGTTTAATAGTTTATTAAAAGATGGCAAAATAAAACAGGACAAACGAACTACTACCATGCTAGTCAAAGTACTGACCATTTGTTTAAAAAACATAAATTTAAAAACGTACTAAAATTAAATTAGTTAATTTTAATAATTTTTAGATATTTTATAATATTGAAGTTTATAAAAATATCACTTTGGATTCTAAAAAAAAAAAAAAATCTTAAATTATCTTTAAATGACAATTATGACATTTTTCATAGTCTTAAACTGTCAAGTAGTTATGGCGTCAAGTGCAAAAAATATCGAATCAAAACAATAATATTTTGGTATAAAATAGGCAAAAGAAAATGATGTAATTGATTAAAAACAAGATAAATAACTGAAATAATGGCTACGGCACTCGAATCTTCCACCACGGACAATGCATGGATCAACTTTTGCGAAAGACATGCACAAGCGGCGGCACAGGATTTTTCTAAAAGTTGTAATCAGTTTATAAATATGAATCTCCCTGAAAGTGCAAAATCGACAATCACTCACAAAGATTTCTTGCGAAAATATGTCGACTTTTTCAAAGATCAATTCGAAATGGATTTTAACAAGAGGAGATTACACAACACGAAAATATCCAATGGGGTGGGTTCTAGAAGTGAAGAGGAACCAGTTGAAAACGAAGACGGTTCTCCTAAAATGCAACATAAACCATTTTTTAGAAGGTAAGTTTCTAACAAAAAAAAAATAGATTATCTATTTTTGTGTTCTATTAGAATTCTGAAATACTTTTCTAATTTAATAGACTCAGCTTTAAAGTTTTGAGGAAGAGTAGGGATTTGTTTCACAAGCAACATTCTGAAGAAATTGATATGACACACAGTAAAACAAAGTTAGCAAAAATTGTTGTTGAATGCAGAAAAGAGGGCATTGTTAATTATTCTACACCAGAGAGTTTAGATCAACCAGGTGGGCCTCCTAAGTGGGAAAAATGCCGCTTGCAGCTGGTTAAGGCAACTGGTGGATACATGTTGGAATTCTACTCTCCACCAAAGAATCAAAAGGTAAGTTTAAAGGGAAAATGAAATTAAATATGTAACATTTGACATATATATTTATCTAGCCACGCAGTGGAGTATTCTGTGCTCTCATAACAGAAGCAAGGGAAACAACAGCCCTTGAAATGCCTGATCATGAGAACACTTTTGTTTTAAAAGCCAGTAACAACATGGAGTTTGTGATAGAAGCACTAGATACAGATGACATGAGGTCCTGGTTAGCTACCATTAGATACTGCATGAGATCTGGACCTGGTGGTCAAGAAATTGGTCATGGGGACCACACAAAGGATTATCATCATCCAGAAGCACCAGATTTGCCACCTAGACATTTGATGGGTAGAGGTGGAGATAGGCTATCTTCTAGTTCAAATTTTGATATTTGTCCTAATACTGGAGAGCCTATTAACTGTAAGTAGAAAATAACACTGCTTCGAATCCTGATTTATTAATATATATTTTTTTATAGCCATGGAGACTGACATTGGTCAAACATTGAAAAAGGAGTTATGGTTTCATGGTATGTTAGGTAGGTCTGAAGCTGCTCAACAAGTTCTGCATGATGGGGCTGCCGGCCATGGAAGGTTCTTGGTTAGACAAAGTGAAACAAGAACTGGAGAATTTGTTCTTACCTTCAATTTCCAGGTTTGTAACAGTTTTATCTACTAAATATCAAATTTAAAGATATTTTTCTAGGTTTAATTTTACCCAAATTCATTATTCTTCCAATAACATGACATTTTTTTACTGGCTACCTTTTACAATGGTTATTACTATTTAAATAAATTTGAAAGTTACATTTTTGGTGCCCAATGTGGGAAAACCATTTTTTTCTTTAGTCACATTACCAGTTTTCTTAAGGGACACATTGTGTAGAAAAAGTATTATTTTAGGGACGTGCCAAACATCTCAGAATGACAATAAACGACCAGGGTCAATGTCGAGTGCAACACTTCTGGTTCCAGTCCATTTATGAAATGCTGGAACACTTCCGGTCTCAACCCATTCCCCTGGAGAGCGGCGGCAACTCTGACGTCACTCTCACCGACTACATTCTCAATCCGAACGCCAGGCAGCAGCATCAGAGCTCGATGGGGCGCAGCCCTACGGGAGGCATGACGGCGAGCGCGTCCCAGCAGGCTGTGACGAACGGTCACGAGAGGCGGGTGCCCCCTATTCCTGAAGTTAGACAAGTGAGATAAACAGTGTTCAATGTGTGTCTGTTTGTTTTTGTTTTATTTGTAGAGGATGTTTTAGATTTCCTTTTTTTTTTTGTTTGTCTAGAAGGCGTTTCAGAATTTTTGAATAATGAAAAATGGTAGAGAGATTAGATGGTATGAAAATAATATTTTTAAAGTTTATTTTTATTTGTGTACAGAAATTATTCTATGAGCCAGATTTTATATTATTATTTTCTATAAGTTGGAGTCTTGAGTTTATGTATAATGTTTTATTTATTTAGGGTTTACCTTTTTTTATAACAAATATTCCAGAAGGAAGCAGCTTAAAATGAGAATTTTCAATTTGTTATTTTATAACTGATGTCCATGTCTGTTGGCAAATTGATTTGTCTGATACATCTATTTTGTTTTTGTGGACTTGCAAACTCCATTCATATATAAATGAAAAATACTCAAAATCGTTTCAGATATGTTTGTTAATTTTTCTCTACCTTAGGCTTATGTAGGGTTCTTCTTGTCATTGTTCTGCCTTTTATTGTTTGGTCCATATTTATGTTCAAGTATTATGGGGATTACTTATTTTAAATCATCAATAATTATTTATTCTTCTGTTGACTTATATTATTGAGTAAACTATTAATTTTAGGAACATCCTGTTTTTTGTTTGTTCTTACTCCTTATTTTTAAATTTTGTTTTGATATTTTTGGGATGTACCTAGTTGTTTTCATTTTAAATAAAACTGCACTGTTAAATTATGATTTGTAAAGCTTCTGGCCTCTGTTTTGTGCCTTCTTCACTTTTTATTTTAGTTCATCATCTTTTTTTAGTGGATCATTATTAAGTATATTTTATTTTCTATTACTTTTGTTTTTTTAACCTATTATTACTTCATTGTAAAAACATTTTTTTTTTACTATAATAGGTACAACTAATTAACAATTTATTTGTAACTCATGATCATAAGTTACAAATAATAAATTGTTAAAGTTAAGTACCTGTTATAGTAAAAAAAGGCAATTGTTTAAACAATGAATTAATAAGTTAAAAAAAAAATATTAGAAGATAAAATATACTTAATAACAACCTGCTAAAAAAAATTTATTAACTAAAATAAAATAAAAAGTACTGAACAAGACATAAAACAGAGACCGAAAGCTTAACAAATCATAATTTAAAAATGCAGTTTTATTTAAAATAAACACCTACATCTTCAGAATATTAAAACATAGTTTTTGAATTTTGTTAGACATCTAAAATAAAGTGACTGAAACGGATTTCACTCTGTAGAAAATTGTTCATAAAACTCTTACCTCTCACAGAATATTTTTTAAGAACTTGCACATTTTCTTTTTATAAAATTTTTATATTTAAGATGACCTTTTGCTAAAATAATAGCTTCCGTCCTAGTTGGTGCCTCAATTTCAATATAATTTTGAAGGAATGTTTACAACATTAAAATTTCAATTACTGATAAATATCTAAGTGTAATATTAGTCAGTAAATGTTTTTCTTTTCGTATAAAAATAAATTATTTTTAAATTGATTTGCTATTATAAAACTGATTTTTTTTGTATCTATCTATAACTAGGAATAAAGTTTTACTGACTGGTATAAAAGTGTTCCTATTATTAATTATTAGTTACTATAGTTGCATTGTTTGAACTTACTTAGTTAATTCCATTTAAGGATAGATTAGTCAGTTGTTTGAAATGAGAACAGAAACTGTAAAAAATTATATTTGTATATTGAACATTAATCCATTCCGTCTAAATATAAATGTTTATTCAGATATACAGACAATAACTATTTAAACATTGTGAAAACCATTATTTTTCAAACGTTCTGAAATGCGTTATTTACCTCATAGTGATATTGTTTTCTTTCTTTTTTTCTTCATCTTTTGTATATAATTTATTTTTTGTACATGTATGTATTTTGTGCCTTTTTGCTTGATATGTACAGACTCTTGCACTATTAATTTATTTTTTTAGTATAATGCTCAAATTACGTAATAAGGACATGTTTTTAGGTCCTTCAATGGTTCCCTTCAGTGTTCATTGAAATGCTTTTTCTTTGATTTGCAATATTTTATAAGATAATACTCTAATGAATCCTTAGGAGTTATGTTTACATCATTCTAAGATATTTTCTTTTAATTGATTTAATCAGTGATATTTGAATTGAAGAGTTGTGAGGGTTTAAGGGCCTTATACTCTACACATATTTCAATTCTAGTAAAATCAAGAGATTTTTTAAATATTACTAAGATTCGTTAAGCCATCTTGAACGTTAATTTAACAATCAGCTTATTTAAATGCCAAATATAACGTCAATTTATAAAAAGTATCGTATCGTTCTGGAATTTATTTATTTATTTATTTATAATACAATACTCTACAGGTCATAAACCCAATTACAGAGCAGGAATTGACAGAATATAATTATTAATAGATCACATTTTTTATATGAATGTTAAGCACATAAAAAGAACTTGTATTTCGTAATAGGTAACAAATTAACTAAGATAAAAAGTGAGATTTTATATCTGACAAATTGCAACTAAACGGAATTCAAAAATACACTGGAAGAAATCTTTAAAATTAAATTTTCATCTATTAGTTTCTTATTTTTTCTATAAGCCCCGTTCATTAAGAAAGTATTAGCATACTTACGACCATCTTCTGAAGTCAAGCATGCTTGCACCAATTACCTCTCTGGGTCACGTTACCCCTTTCCCTCCAATTTTATTATCTACACTAGGTTACCCCCATTTTGTCAAAAATTACTACTTTCTGTTAAAAATTCTCAATTTTTTTTTCCAAATTTGGCCCACTTTTTGGCTAAAATTAATCCATTTTTGTTCAAAATTACCCCCATTTTATTTCTTTTATTTAACTAGACCTATACTCTCTTGCTCTAACTTAAATGTACAGATCGACAGGAATAGCAAAAGCTGCGACATGCGCCAAGTTAAGACATATAACTGAACACAATTTAATTTCTAATAAACAATATGGCTTTAGAAAAGGTATATCAACAGTAGATGCCAATAATGCTGATATTAATATAAACAAAACGAATCATACCAAATATTTAGGGGTTACAATTGATTGTAATTTAAAGTAGGAAAAGCATATTCAAAATATCACAAAAATATTAAGAAGTCTACTTTTTAAATTTAAATATTTAAGTACAATCTTGAGTATGAATCACCTAAAAATAATTTACTACTCGCTTGTTGAGTCTAGGCTACAGTATGGAATACTAGCATGGGGTGGAATATATCTAAGGGCATTAGAAATAATTCAGAAACATATACATAATTCTCTTATATTCTCAACAGATTTACTTTTTCATGAATCTCAAGTGCTTGATATTCGCCCATTCAATTTAAATTTCAACATTTAAAAATAGAAATAAAGTACTACACGATATTAATCACAGATATAGTACTAGACAAAAAACTTCCCATTTCATTAAAATCTAGTCGGTAAGAAAGACTCTAGGACAAAGGTGTTTTACTTACTTAACACCAAGGCTTTTTAATTCACTGCCAAAAATTTATAAAATATACCTTAAAACAATTAATTCCACAATTTTCATTAAAAAAGATTTCAAAAAATTCCTAGCTAATACTGACGGGATATATATACATTATTTGATAGATTCAAAATAATCATATGCCAAATAGGTGCATTCTTTTATTTATTTTTCATGTTGTCCTTACATTGCCACTATGTATCCACAATCTCTAGAATGCACTATGTATCCGCAATCTCTAGAATACTTATATACCTAATACTATTTAATTAACTAAGTATTGTCCTTTCATCAAATTTAAGATATTTTTAATTGAGGTGTTATATTTCTTACTAACATTCATTAGTTGCGAATAAACATGTTCAACCCATGCACAACCATCGGTTTTTACGGGATCACCATTGTTTATTTATAATAATAATATAATGATACTCTCCCTAATTCACCCCCTTACGAGTGAATTTCAACCCCTGAAGTCGACTGAACGAATTGTGTAGGGGAAGGGACGGCTATTATTATTATTTGCCGTGGCGCTCCGGGGCGACTTAAGGATGATTGATGGTGCCATTTGACTTACAGGTGAGGAAAACCCGGAAAACCTCACCCACCATCATTTACATCTATCCCCTTTAAAAATAAATTTGTATTTTTGCTTTTTTGTAAATAAACATTTATTATTATTATTAATAATAAATGATTAACAGCAGCTCACAACAGAATATAACTTAATACTAACTTACTAATGCAGCATACATTCACCTCACGCAAACACCAACTTACAAAAAAACATACATACATAGTGATGGATAAATACAGCACTGGTTCTAAAACCTTATACATCTTTATTAAAACGTCACTAGAAAAATGTATCAATTCTGATGCCTTGGTAGGATTCCCCACTTGACCATTCACTGTTGGGTTCTAATTAACAGTGCTGTTCCTAAAGTGGCGCTGGGAAACAGTAACAAAGCCTACACAGAACACGAGGCTAATGACCTTAGCAGTCGATGCCGATGACCCCAAATAAAAAAAAATACTGAATAATCCTAAAATGTATATATATGGCAGTGAGAACAATGAAATGTAGATTCTGTCTGATATATCTGACCTTGATAAAGAAAGGGTTAATAATGAGAACTAAAACAAGTATTTTTAAATTACTGAATTGACCATACCTGTCATCTTAGCTACCTGTTCTTGTACGTTATGAAATTAGATGAGACATTTAGTTTCATCTGCTTCATATTTTTTTACAGCACTTATATTTGGCAACGTCTCCAAAGGCTCAACTTCGGCTATAATGTAATAAGATGCAAATGATCACCTCGAAAAACCGGAACAAACTTTATTAATTGCACGTATGATCTTGGCAGTTTTAGCTATATTTGTCATATTGTACCCAACCTGATTGTCTCGATAATTTTGAGAGTCTCGTGGAGTCACAGTATTTTTGATCTATATTTCATTCAACTTTAAGGATCTTTTTTGTATTTTGAACCATGTGTATCCCTATTAAAATATGCTTAATAAACGTACCCACTCTGAACTACTGTTGGATAATATAGATTCTTGAATCAACATTCAGCCTGGAATGGAGGCAATACGTTAATTAAACTGAGAATGGAAACACAAAATTCGTACCACACAATATTTTATTGAAGATTTTGTTTTGTGATATTTAAATGCATAATTTCCGAAGAAATAACAAAATGTTCTTGAAAAATTCTCACCTCTTGTGAAAATTATTCAAATTAAGCCATCAGTTTCGGCATATAAGCCATCATCAGATCTGCAAGATGACAACCAGTATTATAGTATATTAAAATATAAAATGGGATGGTACTACTGCCACACAAGTAACATTTTTAAAAAATAAAGCAGTCTGAAAGATACTCATACTAATTATATCTTAGGCACTAGTACATGTTCCAACAATGGGTTTTATACAGTGGTTAAACTGAAATGTTATGTGGTATTAAGTTAAAATTAAATTGGCTATGAAAATTAAAAATTGTTGTTAAAGAAAAGACATAATTATTATTAATCTTAAAAACTATTGGATGGTATGGTTTAAGACCAAAGAAAAGTAGGTCTAATCACTACAACATTGATAACATGACCTATGGAAAATTAAAGAAGTCAAAGTAACTTTCAAAGACCCTTGTCTCAACTTAGGGGACGTGACATAAATACAGATATAAAACTTTTTGGCAAAATTCAGGTCAAACTGAGAATTAATTAAAATGTTTGAAAATAAGCTCATTATCATTTTATTTTTCAAGTATTATGTAAACACAACTCTTAGGCATTGCTTGGTTACTTAAATATAAAAATTATCTATATATGACCCAGCTCAGATCTGTTTTATACCCCAACAGCTGAATATTATTTGTACAAATGAAAACCAGTGCAATCTTTATCATTTTTTTTTTAATTTTATTTTTTTATGGTAGTGTATACTTTTTTCTTTGTAAATTAAAAAAAAAACTACGAAACTAGTTGTTGATTTGCCGTGTAAAGTAAATTTGTTAAAAGTTGAAGGTTTTCTTTTAAATATAATTACGTTTAACAATTTTGTTTATTAAAAAAAAAAGAAAATTATTTTTTGATAATTTGGAAGATGAAATGTTTTCCTTGTAAGATTTTAAAACACTTATTGCCAAGAGTGACATTTTTGATAAAATGTTCATCCATGGACAAATTGTATTACTTTTTTGGATTGCTTCTTAAGTCAATATTGGATATTTCTTATTTATAGAGGAATATTAAAAACGTAATCATTGAATGAACGAAAATTTGTTTCCAAAATGATTTAAGATTTTAAATACTTCAATTTAATAAGAAAACCTTCATTGAAACTAATAAAAATACTCATTTTCGTGGATAAAAGTACATGACAACATACATATCTGCATTTTTGTTTTGTGTGAATGCAAATCTCCAAATAATATGTTGACTCTAAGATGTAGCTGTTAATCAACTTTCATATTAGGAACCTACTATAACAAAAGGTGATCTTATACTATTTATATTATTTTAATTTATTAATTTAAGTACGAACATGTAAATACAACATTTAAACTTTTTTGCTGGTTTCATTTTACCTTTTTTATTCCACAAAAATCGTAGCGGTTGGTAAACAGTCTAATTTTCTGCTTTAAAAAATTACATTTCTATTTTTATTTATTTCCCTTTTTTTAATCCATACAGTAATCAAAATATCGACTACTGAGATACTTTTCTTTAGGAAAGGGACATACTTTAATCAATTATGATATTTGTTTGTTGACTGATAACTTCCCAACGACCCTGTATGTGTTTTTGGCAGTTGGTACACGTATTCTCCATAGTTTACTGAATCTACTAAATTACCAATAAACACGAAATACAGGTCCGTCTATACAAAAATTGTAAATTCATTCATCCTCAAAACAACACCTGAGTGTTAAATTTCCGTTTTCATTTTTGAAACGAGCGTAAAAAACTGAATCCAATAATGTGCTTTTTACTCTTGTGCATACGATTTTACTACTAAAATTTTAAGCCCAAATTGTTATTTTTAAGAATTTTGGGGATACATAAGTATGGACGAATTTATAATTTTTTTGTGAAGATTGGGCTAGATTTATTTTCTTGTCGATACCTTTGTAAGTTATGAAGAATACGTCACAAGATAAGTAACGAGTAAAGAAAATAGACAAAATTGATAAAAACGTACAGTGGTTGTAAAGGGTGAAAACCCATTAATTTTGAGTTTTTGTGAATTTGGTGGTTAGTTTCTATTGCACTTTTGTGAAAGTACAATTAGGACTGAAATAAAGAAGTCCATGACACGTGGTATAACTGCTTGTAGAACCTGGAACATTTTTTCAGGTTCAGACTCACAATGGTAGTGTTAGAACGCAGGAGACATCTTTAGAACAGATTCAGGCGGAAGCTTCAAGTCGCGCTGTCGACAATCAGTATAGTTTTGTGTAGTTATCACAGCGTATATTTATTACACGGGGTACAGGTAAATATATATGTTGTGTTCAAGTAAAGATATATATATATATCTATATTCATTGAAATACGTGATGGTTTTAGAAGAGTACTTCGGTCCTACATATGTATTGTTGCTATTATGGTTGAGCGAAATTTTCATTTTAATTATGATGCCGTCAATTTAGTTATTTTACGAGTACTGTCTGAAATTTCAAGTAACATCAACAATTGTATATGCAAATTCGGAAACGAATATCAAAAATCCTACGAATTATTAAGACCAACCTTGAACCACAAAGCCTGCCGCAGCCAGGGATCGAACCTATATATCCTTGTTTGATAAACAAGTGCCCCTTCCACTAACCTCTCTTTGTAGATTTGAGAACGAGCCTGAACTCCTAGACAGAAGTTTTATGTGCTAGTTCGGACCAAAACTAACACATACAACTGGATGGTTTAGTGGAAGGGGCAATTGTCTAGAAAACAAGGTTTTTCAAATCTCCAAGTATTATTTGTTTTTACCTTAGGGCTTAATAATTCGTAGAGGATTTTGTTTTCGAATTTTCAAATTATTCAGCAACTTATTTCAGATACTTCTGATTTTTCGATTTGTGATCTAGGATATATTAAATTCACAATTTTCAACTAATTGTTTGTGCTCGACCTAGGGTTGCCACCTGTCCTTTTTTCAAGCAAAATGTCCTTGCGACTTTTTAAAGCTTAAAATGTCCTTTTTTACGGCACATGTGATGTGCTTTTATTCTTTAATATCTTTGAAAGGGACGTGGCAACCCTAGCTCGACCGCAAAATTAACCGGACACGGGGTTTTTCAGAAAAATATCAAAAATGTAAATCAAAATAATAAAATTTATTTATACACAATTTTTATAAAAAAAAAAATAAAATTTTATTTCATTCTATAAAAAATCATCTGAGTTTAAAAAGTTAAAAACGAGGAAAAAATAAATTTGCGGCATGAAAATCAAATGCGATCAAAAATTAGGACTGATATAGGATTGTATAGTTGTTTCACAAGTTCAAATAACCTCTTAAATTTTGTTGAAGCAGATTGACAGTATCGAAGACTCGTGCGTAATCACGTTAAAGTCATAACGTAATCTCGATTGACAAATCTTAATAGTATCAAGGTTGGAATGAAAATTCGAATGAGGAATATTCTGAACGCGAATGTAACGTATCGGATTTTCATTCCAACAGAGTAACAGATGGTACTTTCTCCACGGCCACAGACACATGCAGTAGGAGTTGAATATAGCAAAATAAAAAGTTAAACAAAATGAAATATTTAATTTATGTTAGACAAATTTTTATTTGTATTATTTGCATAATTTGTCATTCTATATAAGAATCATTATATTCGCCAATTCTTGAATTTCGACTTAACAAACGGCGCTTATCTTCATTCAGGTAAATTTAAACTAAATACTAATACGTCGCGTATTAAGTACTGTTAGTCATGAAATTCATAACTATCACGATGCAGGCGTGGTATTCACAATCTCCAGGCAAGGGGGGCTCCAAGACGAATTTTCGAGGGGGAGGGAGGGCATTGCCTTTAGCCATTCCCTATTTAGAACATTTTTTTTAATAAAAGGCTCATAAATCGTAAGAATTTTTATCTCGGGGGTCACATTTGCTGAGTTTTATATAGAATGAAATACGTGTAAAATATATAAGAGGCAAGTGTTTTAGAATTTTCAATTGCGAGAATGTTTTTTTTTCTGTTATTATAGGTGGTTTCGGAAGAACTACATTTAGTGGCCGTGGAGAAAATTACTTATTTGTTACTATTTTTATTTTCATTGGTATGGTCTAACAAATAATAAATAAAATTTTTATCATCTCTCCATATACCAATTATGTAAAATCCTCAGCTGGTCTTGTTTAAATTTTATTCTAGATAAAATTTTAAGCAAAATATGGAAAACCGATGATGATACTATCTTATATTCTTATCTTTATAGGTAATGATTCAGATTAGGTACTAGTGCCGAGCATCAAACTAGTTAGAAAACAAGATTTTCTCAGGGTTTTGTTTTACTTAAATTTCGCAGACATAAAAGTATTTTTCCTACGACCACTTTTAGGAAAGTGGCATATATCGCACTATTTAATCTTAAGGGAAGTGCCATTTATCACTCGCGTGTGGATCTACTTTCCACCCGTGTGTGAATATCTACTTTCCGCATCAGCTGTCAAATATATCAATAGGTGTAATTTCTACTTTGATCTATGTAATATCCATATTAATAGTAAAATAGAGTTGTTGATTAAATCGTGAATACTGATTTTTATACCTAGATTCTAGATATTTATTTTTAACAAATTATTAAAATAATTTTAAAGTAGGTAACATTATTATTAGGTTTTTCTTTTGTTAATATAAAAAATATTTAATTAGATAATTCATCTGAAAATAAGCTTGTTAGCTCAGTTCATAGAGCGTTCAACTTTGCATGTTTCCACCACATCGCGATACGGATTCAATCCCCACCGATGGAAGCATATTTTTAATTTTTATAAATATGAAAATTGAAATAATACGACTATGGTTATTTATTTTAAATAGGTACATGTTATTTATCTTAATATAACATCTACAGTTAATCTTTTCGCTATTTACTTTGTACTATTTTGATTAATTTTCAGAAAAAAATTGTAATTAGTTAAGTAGGTAATCATCGTAATAATAAAAAAGTTATTGTTCATGGTTGTTTATCTCATTATTTGTTGTATTTAAAAAAATCAACGAATGAAAAACATTATAGTATTCTAATAGTTTTTTATACCAAATGTTATTTTACCGTTATTATTCTATGAAAGTGTTTGTAAATGAAATCACGTTTTTAATTTCGACAAAACACAATAGGAAAAACACTTTAAAAATTATTCAATAAGTTACATAAAAATACAAATCTAAAATCAGCCACATTTTGATTGAATCTTTATTTCCTGGTTTTATATTTTTTTGAAAAATATTTTGTGGTCGGATGAAAAATATTGTACGTCACTTGTGCAAAAGTGATTTTTCACACTCGTGTGATTATCGCTTTTGGCTTATGTCTCGTGCGTCAATACTTCCCACTCGTGTGGAAAATGTCACTTTTAACACTCGTAATATATAATACTATATTATAATAGTTAGGTAGGTATATAAGAATAAATTGTAACACCTACAATCACGATTTATAGTAAATCAGCGAATTTTCAAAAAAGTTCGAAAGCAAAAGTTCGATTTGAAAATATTTTGATTTGCAAAAAAATTCGAAATTACAAAAGTTTGAAAGTGAAAGTGAGAAAAGATCGAAGCCGAAAAAGATCGAAATTAGAAAAAATGCAATGGCAAAATATGATCGAAATCACGTGTTTGAAAATACTAGAAATCGAAATAGTATAAATATTACGAAAATAGTAAATTAGTTGTTTTTTTATTTTTTTTTATTTTGTGTATAATTTTTTTGTCAAGCAACTCGCGATGGCTCTAGGCCCAACAGGTTAGGTAAATTAGTTTATTTTTCCCATTACGTATAATTTTTCTGAAAAGCAACCCGCGATAGTAAGGTAAATTTTTTAAGTTTTTTTTTTAAGTATGATACAAGAAAAATATTACTAAATTCTTTAATATGTTTTACATTAATTTAGATTCAACCATCTGAGTTCATGAGTTCAAACTGTATAGTTCAAAAATAAAAATCTTAATATTAAAAAAATGGAACGCCATGAACTGAGACGGTAAAGTACCTAACAGTATTATCACAGTAGTACTCTAATCTCACACATGAACTCAGATGGTTGAATCTAAATATAAAATATAAAGAAAATAGAAATATTTTTCTAATATTCTAATTAAAAAAAAAAACTTAACTAATTTACCTAACCTGTGCTGCCTGGATACTGAAGGTAATGAAAAACCTTAAAAATTAACTAAATTACCTAACCTGTGCGGCATGGAGTCATCGCGGGTTGCTTAGCAAAAAAATTGTATATAAAATAAAAAAAAAATAAAGAAAACAACTAATTTCGTAATATAGGTAATGCTTTCGATCTTATACCATTTTGATCATTGCTTTCGATAATTTGTGTTTATTTCGATCTTTTTTTCTGTTTAGATCTTCTATTAAGTTTCGAAGCTTCGTCATTCAACTTTTGTATTTTAGAAGTTTTGTCATTCGACTTTTGTATTTTAGAAGTTTTGTAATTCGAATTTTTATGGTTCGATTTATTTTTGAAATTAAATCATTCAGAATTTTCTAATTCGAATTTATTTCACCAACTCAAATTTTTGTGTACAAACACAGTGTTATTCTTCCAATCATTTTCCCTTTTTAATATCTACGAATTTTCGTTGCTATTTACCATGGAGTTAGTCCATGCTATTTACAAATGTTTTTTAGGTAAAACTCTTTCAAACCGATTTAAAAAAAAATTTTTCTACACCCACAGATATTAGCTTATCTACGCACAAACTACAAACGAGTATATTTCATATCTATTATAGGTAGCGAGAACACTGCAAAAAAATGAAATTCACCATACGTCATAATATATTAATCCACCAATTGCTATTGTTTTGAAAATTTTAAATATCTGACAATTCTGTCAAAATAATTGTCAGTATATTTTTTAGTTTTTGAGATTAAATATACATAAAAATGAGTTATTCTTATGTAGAAACGATAAATTATAATAGCATTTCTATTTTTATTTCGCCTATATAATTATAATTTGTTAATTTAAATAAATATATAAATAATAAATATGAAGTCAATTTAATTATGAGTAGCGCAAATCTCGGATGAGGATAAATTAACAGCCGTATGCATAGTCGATCGCCAGCGACTCGCCAGCGATTCGCTGGCGATCCGCCGGCGAAAGCCCAAAAAGCTGGCGGCTCGCCGGAGATTGTCACCAGAATGTCATTTCACGAAAGTTCTCATGTTCTTTTATAGGGAAAAATTTGATATTCGTTCATTATTTTTTGAGTTTTAAGAAATGAATCATGAATAAAATGCGAGAGATACCGGTGATATTCCCTATAAAAGAACATGAAAACTTTCGTGAAATGACATTCCGGTGACAATCTCCGGCGAGCCGCCAGCTTTTTGGGCTTTCGCCGGCGGATCGCTGGCGAGTCGCTGGCGATCGACTATGCATACGGCTGTTTGTCTTTTTTTTATTTCATAAATTAGTAAAAGTCATAAATTATTTTTAAATTAGTTATTTTATCTTAATAACCTAAAATATTTTTTAATATTTGTAGATTTTCGTTAGTGGGTCGTAGAAAAAATATACTGTATAACTCCAGTGGATTTTCCATATCCACTCTTGTTGCACAAACTATACTATTTACATTTAATTTGTTATTTTTATATCAAGGCGGATATTTTAAGAATTTAATTAACGAGTGATTAGTCAATTTTAAATTTTTTTTTTAATATGATTGTAAAATATATACACCCTAACATCGAAAATAGTTAATTGCTGTTTTGCTTTTATAAAATTATGTTTTCTTTAAACAAGTCGTATATTTGATGTTAACACAAAACAATAATCGATGTTCAAAGTTAAAAATTAAGATTTTTATGAATTTTAAATGTTTTAAATCATATTATGACTCTGGGGTCTATTCTGTAACAATTCCTTTATATTTAACGGCCTTTAAAAATATTGGCGGCCTTTAAAAGTATATTTGTATTCGTTAATTTACTTCTGTCATTATTTAAACAGATTTCTTTAAGATAGTCCTCTAATGTATTTTAAAGATCCGTTTAAATAATGACAGAAGTAAAGAAGAAAATATTTTTAAAGGCCGTTAAATATAAAGGAATTGTTACAGAATAGACCCCTCTAGGTATTAAAAATAATGCATTTACTGTTAAAAAATAATAAAATGTTTAAATGTGAAATAAGAGAAAATAAAAAAAATATATATATATACTTAGTATTTTAATTGCTTTTTATTGTCCTAATTACATATTTAATGGTCTATCGATCTACAAGGTGATTTTTAAGTAATTGTAGGTCCATAGAAGTATAGTAGACTTCAAAATGTTACGATTTGAGCAGATTTAATTTAATTATATATTTTAGATAATAAGACAGATACAGGGTGTTAAGGTGAAATTTATTTTTCTTAATAACTAACGTTTTTGGAGATTTATGATAAAAAATTTAAAATTGGTGTTTTTTGGGTATAAAAAATTATAATGCCCTGATCTATTTTATAGGGGACGCCACATAAGCCACAGTTGTTAAGCGGGAAACAAAGAAGTATATAATAAATTCCCCAAATACTTTTTACTACTTACCCTCATAAGCCTACCAATTAATATATCTAGTCATCTGCAAATCATTCTACAGAGTGGCCCAAAAGTCTGGAAACGGCCAATTATCTCGTACATATTGCTAGTCCTAATTGTACAAAATTTGGGAGGTCTTAAATAAATAAAACAGAAGTCTGGCAACGCCTAATTGTCTCATAAATTGTTTAATACAAACTATTTTCAACTACATTAAAACGTAACAATTGGAAGATTACACCATTTTTAACATAATGGTTACTTTATCAAGTGTTTAAAATGTGCTTCATTTGTGGGTTGACAGTACCCTAATCAATGATGCATTTACCATATTTCTCCGTGATTGTTTTATTTATTTAAGACCTTCCAGACTACATAAAATCATAAGTGTTGCATATGGTTGAACTCGTATTGAATAGGAGATTCCAATAATGACTTAATATACAGGGTGATCAATTTGAAAAACCAAAGTGACTAATAATATAAGAGAAACGGAAAATCTGGCAACATTGCAAATATCAAATCTGGAATCTCCGTATCCCAAAATAGGTATACCCCAAATTTTGTATAATTAGGACTAGCAATTTACGAGATAATTGGCCGTTTCCAGACTTTTGGGCCACTCCGTATACGTATAGTCATGTGCAAATAGTATTATACGCATAAACATAACTTACTACGGACTGTCCTTGTTTGTTTATTTAACAAAATTTACTATTCTTTTGCTGCTCTCGTCTCCACATTGTCTATTTTTGTATATAATTATTATTTATTTTTTCTTATTTTTATCATATTTCTTGCTAAAAAATATGGACAGAATTTTTGCCAATATAAATGGTAAATAAATTAATACATAATTGAGAAGGGGTCCGGAAATAAACAAAAAGACAACACAGGCACTTCACCTAGGTTTTTAGTTTGTTTTCGTGCTCCTCACCTAACAATTTGTATTATTATATAATGATAAAATTAATTTTAATTGAAATTGAATAAATATACATTAAACTTTTTTGTTAGTTAGTGCTATTATTATGACAAAAGTCATCAAGGCAGGTCAATTTAACAAAAAAAAATTATACTTATTATAATCGCATTTTAGAAATCAGCTGTATAATTCTTATTTGTGTGAAATATTAACGTAGTAAACATCTAGAGCTTGGGAATATTAGCGTCGTAGACGGGCGTCTAGAATTATTATTTTGACAGCTAAAAGTTCTTGTTTCAATAATTTATAAATTATGTCATAAAAAGCAGAAGATGCAGATACATAATTATTTTACGAATATGGACATATACACCGTGTCCCACGTAAGGCGGGCATTACAACTTTATGGAGAATAAATTAATTTGTATTTTCGCCATTTTCTGAGTATACATAATCGAATATGCTCTTTTCAATTAAAATAAAATGAACTCTGTGCAACTTCCGGTTATACCGGAAGTGACCACTAACTTCGTTATTTTAAAGGGAATACCCCATATTTTTTTTTAATTTTAGATTCAGCATGAAATTCTGTAAACAACGATACCCCATTTGCCTATTCTAGTTATAGCGGATTTGGCGTTATTCAGTTTTTTATAAACTTTTATATGCCGGCAGACATTTGCTTTTTTAAATTTACTTGTACATCGTTTGTTCGACTGTGTGTTTGGAAATTATTTTAAAAAATAAATATTTTAGACATGAAAATTTTTTTTATTTTAAATGGAAAATCCTGTATATTTTTATTTCATTTTGTTCAGAAAATTATTCTTCATTGATCTTCATTTGCACTATTAATTCCCTATAATTATCTCTCGCCAATTTTAAGAAAATTTAAATTTAAATTTTACGCATGCACCTACATAATATAGTATAGTTTTACATTTTAATTTTTATCTTAGTATGCCGTGGAAATATGCTAAACAACAATCTGTCAACAAACTGAATTGTCATATTTCTATGTATTTAAGTTGTGTATTTTTTGCGTTCAAAATATGGAAAATAATGAAGAATATACCAACCAAGATATTCTTAATTTATTTTATTCATGGAGAATGTAATCGAATCAAAAGTAGAACCTGCCGCATGTTTAATGAACGATACCCTCATTTACCACCAATGAACAGACAGAAATTTTATAGAATCGAAGCTAACTTTTTGAATAATTTTAAACAAAACCCGGGAAGAAACCGTCAACATTATGTCCGAGATGAAGAAGTTAATCTAATTAACGTATTAGGGTATTTTACTGCGTATCCTCACGCCTCCATTAGAATGGCTCAAGATAATTTAAATATTAGTCGAGGGTCAATACAACGAATTTTAGCACTAAATAAATGGCATCCCTATGCACAAAGAAAAGTTCATGAGTTGCGAGATGGTGATCAAATAAGACGAACTGAATTATGCGAATGGTTATTGGTACGAATTCAAGAAGATCCCGAGATTTTAAACAAAATTTTGTGGTCAGACGAGTCGAAATTTACACGTAAAGGGATCATCAATCGCAAGCAATGTCATTTCTGGGCAAACGAAAATCCACATTTTTATCGTGAAGCACAATTTCAGTACGAATTTAGTTTTAATGTGTTTGCAGTGATCGGTTTTGGAAGAGCTTTTTATTACATTTATAATGAAAGACTGACCTCAGAAAGATACATTAGAATTCTTAGAGAAGTAGTTGCCGACATTTTAAACCAGCTACCAGCTACCAGTTGGATGGTGCCCCAGCACATTCAACATACTATGTAAATCAAGAAATTACAGCACTCTTTGAAGACCGATGGATAGGTCCAAATGGTCCTTGGCTTTGGCCTGCAAGATCGCCAGATCTAACTCCTGTTGATTTTTTTTATGGGGTCATATTAAAAATTTAGTGTACTCTACCCAAATTAATACTAAAGAAGAATTAGAGCAAAGAGTTCGGAATGCCTTTAACGAGTTAGATGGTGAAATGATTCGTAAAGCAACAACTAATCATGTTGAAAAAAGATTGTTAAAATGTTTAGAAGCTAACGGGGAGCATTTGGAACATTTGATAAAATGATTTTTTTAAACCATGTGCTTTTAATAAAAATTGTTTTTAGTTAGTATGTACCTTATCATTAAAAAAATTTAAACTTTTTAAACGACATATTTTGTTGCAGAAAACTGTAAATGTTTTTAAAAGTACATCCCATCTACTACTTCTGGCTAAAATTTCAAGTATCCAACAGAAATAGTACCTGAAACAGTCGACTTTAAGAAAATGCCTACCGGCGCGACGACTAAAAATTAAAAAAAAATGAATAACGCCAAATCCGCTATAACTAGAATAGGCAAATGGGGTATCGTTGTTTACAGAATTTCATGCTGAATCTAAAATTAAAAAAAAATATGGGGTATTCCCTTTAAAATAACGAAGTTAGTGGTCACTTCCGGTATAACCGGAAGTTGCACAGAGTTCATTTTATTTTAATTCAAAAGAGCATATTCGATTATGTATACTCAGAAAATGGCGAAAATACAAATTAATTTATTCTCCATAAACTTGTAATGCCCGCCTTACGTGGGACACGGTGTATACAACATTATTACTATGGGGCACAATGGAACAATGGGTTTATAAGAATCCAATAAATACTCGCTCCCAAGTTAGGAAAGATATCCATGCAGCAGCAGGTTTTTTCAACCAATGGTTTTATTAAATATAAGACGATTTTACATGAAACGTATGGATACATGTATTGAAGAGAATTGACATATCGGACACTTATACACTTTTTCATAAATTGACAGGCTTGGTGACTATTATTTCGAATAAAAAAAGCGTTCAAGATGCAAGACTATGTCTCTACCCCCTTAGATATACCAGACCTTCTCACTGACAGCTATTGTTTGACAGGTCGTTGGAATGCCTAATTGGTTATAGTAAGAGAGCCAGCCCACTGCAAATTACGACCGCCATCTGATAACAAAATTAAATATGCTCTAAAGAGATGTAACAACATTGTACTTTACCAAATTACACCTGTGCCAATCTCTAATCCTGAGCAAAGTGGTTAAAAAAAATTATTTTATATTCAACAAATCACATAATGAAAATTACAATCCTAATTCATTGTGAACCTAGCTTTTAAACCTGAATTATTATTATTTTTACCTACCTTTTGCAGATAGTCAATTATAAACCATAATCTTAGTAGTTTTTCTGTCGTTTCTATGGCAACCTGTAAAAATGAATCACGACAATAGGCATACAAATAACTTTTTAAATTAGCAAAAATTGATTCATATTTTTAATGATTTTTACCTACTAATCGTGTGTAGATATTTTTGTGTGATGTTAAGAGGAAGAAAATGTTTCCTGTTAACGATAAATATATTAAGATATATTTGAATATGTTATTATCTGGAAAACTTTAAGGGCAAACAAAATTAGCGCTGTCATGCCTTATGTGATTTTTTTAATATAATTTTTTTTAACCACTTTGCTCATGATTGGGATTGGCACAGGTGCCATTCGATAAAGTACAATGTTTTTACAAGCTTTTGGGGTATATTTTATTTCATTATCAGATGGCGGTAAAAATTTGCGGTGGGCGCTTGGGCTATTATAATTTATTTCTGTATGCGCCAGGGATACAAATCCAAGTTGCGCAATGTATAAACTGGAACATTGAGATCAAAAGTGCCGACGCAGAGTGAGCGAACTGATTCTTTAGCTATAAACTGTGGCCTTACGGCCCTTACTGTAAAAATATTGTTTTCAAAGACGCCTACTACGTTAATATTTCACGCAGTGAATTATATAAATGATTTCTAAAATGAGATAATATTGAAAACTTTTGGAGTTAACTTTTTTTGTCAAATATTGACTCTCTTTAATAAATTGCGCTAATAACTTAACAATGTATATTTATGAAATGTAGTGCCCCTTACAAAATAGGTCGACGATATTACGAAATTATAATTTTTCATACCCAAAAACCACCAATTTTAAAAGTTTCCTTATAAATTTTCAAAAACATGAGATTTATTGGAAATAATACATTTTTAATATTCTGTATCTGCGTTATAATAATAATAATACTCTCCCTAATTCACCCCCTTACGAGTGAATTTCAACCCCTGAAGTCGACTGAACGACTTGTGTGGCGCTCCGGGGCGACTTAAAGATGATTGATGGTGCCATTTGACTTACAGGTGAGGAAAACCCGGAAAACCTCACCCACCATCATCGAGACGGTAATGTATGGCGAATTTTTTTAATCTGCATGTCATATCAACAGAAATTGAATTTCTATTAATACGCCACACATCAAATCCTAAACCGAACCATGCAATTTAATTAAAAATCCACATGGTCTGGTCTGGGATTCGAAACCCAGCAGTCTCAGACTCATAAACTTGCCTATAAATGAATATAACCGCGATAGACCCCTACACCACCGTCCCTATCAAGACAAGTTGGCTCAAATCGTAATATTTTGAAGTCAAAATTTTACTATACTTCTTATTTTTCTATGCTTTTATGTACAATTACTTATTAGGACCACCCTGTATATGACAAATTTTTTCGGGACAACCTGTATGTCTTCTATGTTTTAAAATGACATTTAATTATTTTTGACAACTATGACAGCCATTGCCATGGTGAGGTTTTGTTTGTCAACAAATAATATGTAGGGGTAACTTTAGAAACCTCGCACGGCGCTTCTGGATCACATACTTATTGTTTGACGTCATGACTATTCCCCTGAAGGAGAAAAGGGAAATTTGCGGTTTGGGTCATCCCTATTTTTATTCATTATCCGGTTCTATAAAATTTAACTGTTCATTCAAAAAATCGACCAATTGAGATGCAGTAACACTTTCTACAAATACTTTCCCCATGCTTTTTCCTATTCTCACAGCCAGTACGTGTTTACACGTAATGGCGTTTTTCATTTCTAAAACTTGATACCTAAAAATACTGCAGTGGCAAAAGTTTATATTGTCAAAAATTGTATATTGCTCTTTGCTAGTAACAATTTTAAAAATGTTTCTCAAGTTATTCGCCAACTTATATTCTGTGATACAACATTTATCCAGTAGTTCTGCAGCAAGAATAAAATGCTCTCCAAAAAATGAGTGTAAAATTTCAAGATCTGTATTACTAACTAAAAAAAAAAAATATGATTGATTATTCATATTCTAAGAAATAAAAGGACATAATTTTTAACAGAACTTCTTAAAACTGTTAGAATTTACTTACATGCACCAGTGTCACCAAAATTTTGTTGAGCCTCAATTAAAGAATCAAATCCTAATTTTGGAACTAAACTTTGCTCCATAGTAAGTTTTAACTGTGATCATAGGTATGACTGATATATAAAATTATAAAAGGTCTGTGATTAATTTAAAATCAGGGCTGTTTAAAATTTACATTTCTTATTCTAACCTCAATTTTTGACCCGTGTCTAGAGTTACATTTCCGTGACACAATTAAAATCAAATTAAGTAATAAATATTTTTTTATTGTAACTATGTAGGTAACTAATATAATTTTAAATGTCCAGTAATTTTATCCAAAACACTCTTGGGTGCTGGACCTATGGCTATAACAGTTCTGGTTCCTGGTGCAACTTGCGTTTGCCCAGCATCTCTAACAATACTTGATAACACATTTAATTCTTTTGCTTTTCTATCCACTGAGAGCAGTTCTTCTTCAGAATCTAGTCGGACAGCTATTTTTGTACCTCCTAAAAATATAAAAATACAATTAAAAAAAATAATTTTATATTTTTACCACATTACCACTTTCAAAATCACAGTTTACTTACCAAACTTTAACCAATTTTGCAAAATTTTCGGTCTCTGTTTGAAGGCTTTGGCATAGGCAGCTACTGCTGCATGTCCACATTGTGCAGCTACTTTACCTTTTTGCATTTTTAAATCATTTCGTACTCCCATTATTAACCTATATTCATCTTTGGGGTCTTTAAACTAAAATTATGACTATATATTAAGAATGTTTTTTTTAATAAACAACAATTTAACCTCATATCTTTCTTCCATTCCGTTTTTCCATATTTCTTCTTTTGGTTTATGTCTAAATTTGGAAATAAAGTATACAGAAGTTGCGCCTAGTACTGTTCCTGCACCAAATATTGTTAAATATGTACTACTTGTTACTGTTCCCATATTTCTTTTTGAAAATTTTGCAAATTTTAGTAGTTGATTTTGGATTTGGCTATCATTCCGCATACCGTTAACTTAAAAAAAAAGGAGTAACTCGTCTTCTTTTCCATGCACGTAGATGGTCTACTATGACAGAGACAACTGCTAGTTGTCTCTGACTATGCTATTAGCTAACTATTCTTCCTCCATTCAGCAAATTCACCTATTAGGCATTCCAACGACCTGTCCAAATGGCTACCAGTGGGTAATGACAGTTTAGATATGGCAACCCTGTTGTCATGTTGTCATTAACAGGGTCAATGATACATATATAGTTATATAGATTGCTCAAAACTGGTCGTTTACGAGCGGCCATATTGCCTGGCAAATATTTATTAATTTGAATCGGTTTAGCAAAAATGTGTTTTAAAACCAATTTTTAGCCTTTAGATATTAAAAAAAAATAATTGCTTACATTTTTACTTCAAGGCATAAGCTTATGTTTATTTTGAAAAATATGGATGATCAATCTATGTAAATATCTATTTCATTGACCTTGTCAAATCACCAGGCCTACAGGGTTGCCATAATTTTGCCATATCATAACCCGTCAGAACCCACTGGTAGCCATTCAGTTTGGAATGCCTAATTGGGATCTAAAATTAAGATCGCAGCGCCGTCTGTACTTAACATTTAAACTAACTGTTATGGCTTGTTATTGTTTACATTTTTGGCTCTATCAAGCTAGCGGGCACTCTGTGGCGGCACCATACAAGATCTGGTGGGTTTTTTGTAGCTTTTTTGTAGCTTTTTTGTTACGCTATTTGCGAATTTGTAGCTTTGCCCAGGTCCGAAAAAACAGCGGATCCGCTAGCTTCAATTTCCATAAATTCCATAGTAGCGGCACAGATTCAGACCCAGCTGGTTTTTCGTAACTTTTTTGTAGCTTTTTTGTTACGCTAGTCTCCCTTTTGTAGCTTGTACTGAACCTGAGAAAAGCGCGGATCCGCTAGCTTAGCGGATATTTGTGGCGGCACCAGCTCGGACCAGGTTCATTTTTTGTAACTTTTTTGTAGCTTTTTTGTTACGCCTGTCTCCATTTCGTTGCGAGGCCTGAACGTGAGTAATAATCGTTTCTCCATGAGCGCGAGAGAAAAGTGCGTTAATTTAAAATCAAGTTTCGGCCTCTACAAATAATATGTGCAACTCGATAGTGTGACTATCTGTTGATAGATGGCACCAGTATTGCATTTCACGAATTATGGCCATCTTCCATTTAATATATTTTTGAGAAATTTAGATATAATCTCAAAATCGGACATTTGTTTTTAAATGTTTTTTAGTGTTGTTTATGTATTTATACTTTTGTTGAATCAAGAATATTCTTCCATCTTTTTTGAATGATTTCCTTAACCAATCGTTTTGCAGTATTTATGGACCAGTGTTTAATTCTGTCGGATCACAACTATACAGTGTGTTCCATCTCAGACGAGCCACCCCGTATATTTCTTATCCCATAGTAATTGGAAAAATTTCTCGAAACACGTCGGATGATTTTCTTTGGGGGACATCGATCTTTTGACGTATATTTAAGGCTTGAACCAGCAACCCAGACAACACACCAAATCCCAGAGATATCCACAGAATATCTTTTGTGGATATCCAATATATCCACAGGATATCAGAAATATTCCGTGGATCTAATATGGATATCCAAATATGTCCGTCTATATCCAGAATATAGAAGCTATCATATGGATATCCAGCAAAATATCTAATGAGTATCTTTCAGACAATACAAAAAATCCCAAAAAATTAATTTTAAATATCTGAACGGTACTATTAGCCACAATGGCGTAATTTTTTTAATAATTTGCTATATAATTACTATTATTTATGGACATTTGCATGTCTATAAATTACAGCTCATGGATATAAAATAGATATCCACCATGGAACCCCTATGAGGGGGCGCTTCAACCCCTCAAAATGGAATGGGGAAGAAGGGTTGAGTGATACATCATTTGTAAGGTCTTGAAAGCCTCTTTACAACGGTGTATGAAAAAAATCACATTCTTAAAAAAAATTAATTGTTTTATCACGTGAAATGATCGAAGAAACGTGATAAACACCTTCTAAGAACAAAAAATGAAGGCAAGATAAGAAAATGTTTTGATTTTTTTTTTATTTATTAGTTCGAGAGAATTTATTATTGCATGGAAATCAATGGAACACAAATTGAACATTTCATTTAAAAACGCAGTTTTGATTTTTTTGATTGTAAGCATGATAAAACAATTGATTTTTTTAAGAATGTGATTTTTTTCATACACCGTTGTAAAGAGGCTTCCAGGACCTTATAAAAGTATCACCCAACCCCTCTTCCCTATTTAATTTTGAGGGGTTGAAGCGCCCCCTTATAGGGGGTTGCTCGTTCAAGAAAATCATCAGACGTGTTTCGGGAAATTTTTCCAATTACTACCCAGACAACACACCAAATCCCAGAGATATCCGCAGAATATCTTTTGTGGATATCCAATATATCCACATGATATCAGAAATATTCGGTGGATCTAATATGGATATCCAAATGTCCGTTTATATCCAGGATATAGAAGATATCCTAATGGATATTCAGCAAAATATCTAATGGGTATCTTCCAGAAAATACAAGAAATCACAGAGATATCCACAGAACATATTTTGTGGATATTCAATATATCCAATATGGATATCCAACCAAATGTCCATCTATATCCCAGGATATAGAAGATATTCGGATATTCAGCAAAATATTTTATGGGTATCTTTAGTAGAGGTACATAAGTAACCAATGATTATTGAATAACGTCGAAAGAAAATAGCAGAGATAAAAAATATTTTCAACACTCAAAATATTTTCAACACTCTGCCTTTGATTTTGCCCACTAAGGAGAAAGTCATCCTTATTAGGACTCTTCAGCAATATACGAAAATTCTCGACTCCAGTCTCTAATGGAGTCTGGAGGACAAAAATTTCGATCGAACTCAATTACGGCGGGTCGAGCATGAGTAGATGCGATAGTGGTATCGCCATCTATACTTAGTAAGCAGAATCAAATAACATCTAGTGGATATCCACGATGGTTTGCGTTCGCGCCTAGACTGATATATTTAGTGGATGTTCATGGGATATTGAATACACCTTAAAAAAATTAATTTTAAATATCTGAACGGTACTATTAGCCACAATGGCGAGCACAATGGCGTAATTTTTTAATAATTTGCTATATAATTACTATTATTTATGGACATTTGCATGTCTATAAATTACATTTCATGGATATAAAATAGATATCTACCATGGACTGGACATTCAGTGGATATTGGGATGTTCAGTAGATATCCAAAGGATTTGGTGTGCTGTCTGGGTATGGGATAAGAACTATACGAGGTGGCTCGTCTGAGATGGAACACCCTGTATATAGTGAGAATAGGTAATTGCTTGGTAGCTATTACCACCGGTGTGAAGTTAGCAGTAAGTTTTTAGCAGTAACAAGTATTAGAAATTAAAAATTTAAAAAAACCGACTTCAAAAACGTTCCAAATTTATATGGGACCACCCCGAGGTACCCCCTTACTAACAAAAAAAATCATATAAATCGGACAAGGTGGTAAAAGCATTATCGCTAAACATACATAAAAAATGAAGAGTTTGAGGATTTTCTCATGGACCCAATTATTAGATTTTGACCAAATATATATGGGACCACCCCTGAAGTACCCCCTTTCTAACAAAAAAATAATCATTGAAATCGGACACCGTGTTAAAGAATTATCGCTGAACATACATAAAAAAAATATCCCAACGAATTGAGAACCTCCTACTTTTTTGAAGTCTGTTAAAAATAACCGAAAACACCCAATCGGGAAAATAGTGGCGTCCGGCATGCAACTATTTTAATAATCTTGCCAATATGTATTTTACATTAATATCGGACAAATAATTAATATACATACCGTTGAAAATGTCCGATTTTAAGATTATATCTAAATTTCTCAAAAATATATTGGATGGAAGATGGCCATAATTCGTGAAATGCAATACTGGTGCCATCTATCAACACATAGTCACACTATCGAGTTGCACATATTACTTGTAGAGGCCGAAACTTGATTTTAAATTAACGCACTTTTCTCTCACCTCATGGAGAAACGATTATTACTCACGTTCAAGCCTCGCAACGAAATCGAGACAGGCGTAACAAAAAAGCTACAAAAAAGTTACAAAAAAATGAGCCGGGTCCGGGCTGGTGCCGCTACAAATATCCGCTAAGCTAGCGGATCCGCGCTTTTCTCTGGTTCAGTACAAGCTACAAAAGGGAGACTAGCGTAACAAAAAAGCTACAAAAAAGTTACGAAAAACCAGCTGGGTCTGAATCTGTGCCGCTACTATGGAATTTATGGAAATTCAAGCTAGCGGATCCGCTGTTTTTTCGGACCTGGGCAAAGCTACAAATTTGCAAATAGCGTAACAAAAAAGCTACAAAAAAGCTACAAAAAACCCACCAGGTCTTGTATGGTGCCGCCACAGAGTGCCCGCTAGCTTGATATAGCTTACATTTTTGAGTTTGTAAACAAACAGCCCATAAAAAGTATTTAGTTTATATTGGTGCTATTTTAAGGAAAACATATTGTTGTTAATTTTTAGTGATTAGACACTTTTATTTCAATAGTTTTTAGGTTAAATTAAAATGTATATTTTTATTTGGTAAGTACCTAATTCCCTATTAATTTTGTTTTTGAGTTACTTTCATTCATTTATGTTAATTTAAGATATTTGTGTTATCTTTTAATAAAATATTAATATATTTATTCTATTTTTAGTGAGATGTCTGAAATAAGGCTAAGTTTAATAGAACTTATGAAGTATATTGGTGCAGTTGAAAATTCCAGGACTGTTATTAAAGAAGATGCTATTTTAAATGTAGGCCACATAGTTTTCATGTGGAAAGAATGAATTTGGTGATAAACATATACGTAATCAAAGTATGTGAACTCAGCTGAGTTTTGTTTATAAATACGGGCCATAGTTCAGTGGAAATATGGCGAATTTGCATTATCGATTTTTCATTCGAAATA